AGAAGATAAATATCTTATAATTTTTGATATTATCTCCTTATTTACATATATTTGACACCTAATAATTAACAAAATTTCGGTGTCAACAGTCAGCTAGATTAATTTGCTGACCATTCAATGGGAAATTTAGTTGCAGATTAATTTAGTCTTTTAATCACATAGTCATCCCTCATTTGTTTTTTTTTTATAAGAAGTCATCCCTCATTTGTTGACAAAAGCAGCAAATTAAAAAGATGGCATAATCCATAATCAAAATATTAATGGATGATTTTCAATGGTCTTTCTTAAAATGACCACCATTATTCTTAATTCTCATTGGTTGAGTTTTTTTTTCATTTTTTTAATGTTTGGTCAAACTTTTTTTTTTTTTCTTTCTTTAATTCATTTTTTATTTTCAAAAATTATTTTTTCATTTTCGAAAATCTATATTTTTTTCATGATCATTTAACTAAAATCAATTATCAATAAAATCAAAAATACAGATTGAATTAAGAAATTTTAAATAAAAAATGTTGTTCTTCAATGTCTTCATCAATGAATGAAAATAACCATCGTCATCATAATCATTTTCACTCAATATCTATAATACAATCGCACATTAAATTAATAAAGAATGAATATATGCATTCTATGCGAAATTTGAATAGTTCAAAATCAGGGTTCATACAAATTCATGTTCGTTTTAATCCTAAAATAAACAATATATGTTAATCGGATTACCACAATCAAAGGATGCAAAATCAGCCATTATATTATATGTATTTGAGAATATATATTATCAAATTTTCGAAAATCTTGGTTCATGAGGCAAATTGGAGAATAGAGAAGAAACCGTAAATTTTGTTTTCAAAAACCTGTTTGATCCAAAAAAAAATAAAGATAAACTTTAAATTCTGTTTGTGTATAAGGAATTAACCTAACTATTAATAGGACATTACCTGTAAGGATGTAAGCCTGTAGCACATAATTTTATTGTTTATTTATTTGTCTACGACTATATATTGTTTGTACATAGCTAATTATTAGAGTGGTGTCCTATACTATGTTGTCAAGCCCGCCTTCCTAAAAGTATCACTATCTCATTGGAACAGATTAATAGAATTTTTTTTTGGAAATAGTCTCCACAAAAAAATAGAATCCCCATGATTTCTTGGGATAAAATTTGGCAACCTAAAAGTTATGGTGGTTTAGGCTTGCGTAAGACTGAAGCTGTGAATTCGGCTTTTTTTAGCCAAGTTAGGATGGAAATAATCTCAAACCCAAACAACCTCTGGGTACGTTCGGTGACCGCAAAGTATCTTAGTAAACATACCTTTTTGAGTATAAGCCTCAGCCGAAGGACTCTTGGATTTGGAGAAAGATTCTCCAAATTTGCCCTCTTCTTCTTAAAGGACTTCATTGGAAAATTGGTAATGGCGCTAGTGTTCTTTTCTAATTGGATAATTGGCGCTCTTCTGAAAATATTATTTCTATGTTAAAATTTAGATATTTCAGATATCCATAATCTAGATCTCACTCATTTTATTACGGACACTAATAAGTGGGATCTTACAGCCCTGTCTCTTCTTGTTTCTATTAATTTAGTCCAAATTATTCAAAGTATCCCTATTCCTTCCTCGTCTATCGAAGATGAACCTTGGTGGGGTTTGTCGATTTTACTGTAAAATATGCTACTTGGTTAGCCCATAACATATCTTCCCACACTAAGTGAGAATTTGCTTGGATTTGGAAATTAGATATCTCCCCAAAATTTAAAATTTTTGTTTGGCAACTTCTTCATAACGATCTTCCTACTAGAGCTAATCTTGTTCATCGTCAGTTGGTCATTCCTAGTACATGTCCTTTACGTAATTTCCATCTTGAAACACAGGATCATTTATTCCTTTCATTTTTGTTTACGAAACGTTTTTGGACTGCTAACCCGACCTACTACTAATTGGCTAGGTCATGTTCCTCTTCATAATAATTTTTATAAAATTTTGTTAAAAACCACCCGTGAAAAACACATTTTTGTCAAAAACCACTCGGAAAAAAATTTGTTGTCTGTGACCACCCATTTAAAATAAATTGTTGTCAAATGCCACTAGAGTTTATATTACGGCATTGACTCTCAACTCCGGCGTGGACACAGCCACGTGACTTTTAATGACTCCCTCTCTGCCTTTTTATCCTCCTCGAAATTTCTGGAGTTCCCTCCATTATCTTTCTCCTCCAACCATTAATCCCTTTGGAAATTACAGAAAGATTGGACATCCTCCTCAATTGCGAAGGTGAATTGAGTAATTGCTAGTAGTTGAAACAGTGAATTCGTGATTGCTTATTGTGGTCTGTTAACTCTTTGGTGCTTCTCTTGTTATTTCTTGGGTTCTTCGAGAAGTCGTTTCTCCTTTGCTGCAAAAATTCCCTTGTTTGGTTTTTTTTTTTTTTTTTACTCTTTAATTTCATCTGGGTATCTCTAATTTTCCTTCATTATGCTTATATGCAATTTTATATTAATTCGTTGTTTTTTTGTATTTAATTTGCTACTAATTTTATAGGTTTTGTGCTGAAATTTGATGTTGATTGCCCAATTTGTTTAATTGTTTTTTTTTCTTTTTCTGCTATTGATTTTGCAATTTGTTGTTAAAATTTGCAATCGTTTTTTATGGTAATTGATTCGGTAAAAGGGGGTAAGAAATAGGTTATGGGAATGAAAGATTTAGTCTTGAGAGAGAAAGAAGAGAGAGATGAGAGAGATAATGGAGGGAACTCCAGAAATTTCGAGGAGGAAAAAAGGCAAGGAGGGTGTCATTAGGCTGTGGTCAACGCCGGAGTTGAGAGTCAATGCCGGAATATAGACTCTAGTGGCATCTGACAACAAATTTTTTTTAAATGGGTGGTCACAGACAACAAATTTTTTCCCGGAGGTTTTTGACAAAAATGTGTTTTTCACGGGTGATTTCTTACAAAATTTCCTAATTTTTATCATCTTTTCGGAATTTTTCTTTTTCTGGATTAAGATTATTACTTCTATGTGGAGTATTTGGCAAACTAGAAACTCAATTGTCTTTTAGAACATGAATTTCTCTTCTATGGCCATCTTATCCTGTGCCCAAAAAATCTTTCATGAATGGAAGTTGCTCTCTTGTTTGGATTCTATGGATAATCAGTTAGCCCCTTGGTCTCCTCCTCGTCATGGTGTTGTTAAGATAAATTTTGACGGCTCTATACGTGATGCCTCAGGTGCTGCATGTGTAGTTATCAGAGACCACTTGTGTAATCATATTTGTAGTGGGTCTTATAATATTGGCACAAATACACCTCTTATTGCCGAGGCTACTGCCCTTGGTAATGGCCTTTACTTGCATGGTCCCACAATGTTTCCCATATTTTTATTGAAGGTGATAACTTACTTATAATTAATATTTTGCAGGGTAAAGCTCAATGTCCATGGATGATTAAGTTACTACTGGAAGATATTAGGGAGCTCCTTCGTCTTTTCTCTTCCGTCAAGTCTAGGCACATCTATAGAGAGGGCAATAGAGCAGCATATTGTGTTGCTTCTTTAGGTCATTTCATGCAAACGCACCAGGATATTGATCCCTTTTTAATTAGATAGTAAATTTTCTTTTTTATTGCTTCAAATAGGTTGGGTTATACTCTTGAGAGAAGACTAGCCTAACTTCTTGTATATTTCCTTTATAAAAAAACAATAATAATTAATTTATGCTAAACTAGCTTAGACATAGGTTTAAAAGAATCTGTATAATTATTTTTAAAAAGATCATGAACTCAATATCTTTTAATTTTAGAAAGATTACTTAAATGTTTAGGAAATGAAGAAAGCTTTGATTCTCTATTTCTCTTCTAATTAAAAAAAAAAAAGGAAATGTATTGATAGGGTATAGCTTAGGGATAGCTTAGGTGATACGGAGTACAAGGAAATAATAACAGCCTTGCCTAGATATGATTTTCCACACAAATATAGGTACTCTTCTCTTGTATACACATTTCCATGTATTCCTAAAAAAACAAGGAAAATGGCACTCAAATCATCATTTATATTTTCCCTACTCTTTTTCTTTCTCTTTTTCACTAACAAATCTCTCTAATGCACTTAAACACCCCCAAAAAATCACCCAAAGGCCTAGGAAACCATGCAAGAGGATGGTTTACTACTTCCATGACGTACTCTACAACGGCAAGAATGCCAAAAATGCCACTTCAGCCATCATAGGAGCGCCCGCTTGGGCTAACAAAACCATTTTAGCAAGGCAAAATCACTTTGGAGATTTTATAGTTTTCGACAATCCTACTACACTTACAAATGATTTTCACTCAACCCAAGTAGGGCGCGCCCAAGGGTTCTACTTTTACGACAAGAAAGACGTGTTTACATCTTGGTTTGGATTCTCTTTCGTGTTCAACTCGACTAAGCATAAAGGGTCATTAAATTTTGCAGGGGCTAACCCTTCAACGAAAAAGACTAGGGACATTTCTGTTATTGGAGGAACTGTGACTTCTTCATGGCTAGGGGTGTTGCTACCTTTACGACTGATGCTGTTGAAGACGATGTTTATTATCGACTTCGTATTGATACTAAGCTCTATGAATGTTGGTAATTATATAATTCATGGTTCGTTTGATGATTCGTAACGTAAGGTTTCTAAGGAATTGAAGGATGCAACATTCTCATGTGTGTTAGTAGGGGTTGCAAAAATTATACCGCTTATATCATATTGTATCGTGTTTTTTATTCTTATTAGGGCCTATATTTAGTGTGTATTTTGTATAGCTAACGGGCCTATCTCATGAGCCCTAATCTCTTGTTAGGATTGTATATATACGCTTCCTTTACTCTAATGATACTACGGAAAAATCATTTCGTGACATAGTATCAGAGCCAGTGTAACATAAAGGTCACGGTTTTGAATCTCATCCACCCCCCACTTTCAAGTGGAATATTAAGCGCGCAATAACTTTGATTTGTCTTTTTTTTTTTTGGAAACAAAAAAGAAAATCTTTATCTACTACGTATCTCTCTGAGTTTCGTGCCCAACACGTTTTCCTTTGATATTTCTATCTTCCAGTTAACTATTTAAGCAGCTAAGATGTCAGGTTTCTTTTTATAACCATCAAATTTCAATTTCACAAAAATCACAATCTAGGTTTTATAGTCAAACTTCATCCTCATTACACTCAATTTAGGGTTCTTCTTAACTCGATTATTCAACTATTGATTGTAATCAGCCTGATTTGATAATCAAATATGGGAGAAAGGAAAGTGTTAAACAAGTATTACCCGCCAAATTTCGATCCCAGTAAAATTCCAAGACGAAGAAAACCGAAAAATCAACAAATGAAAGTTCGAACAATGTTGCCAATGAGTATTCGCTGCAATTTTTGTGGGAATTACATGTATGCAGGCACTAAATTCAATGCCAGGAAGGAAGATATAGAAAAAACATATTTAGGGATTAAATGTTTTAGATTCTATTTCAATTGTACGAATTGCTCGGCCGAAATTGTTAAGAAGACTGATCCTCAGAACTCTGATTATGTAATTGAGGCTGGTGCAACGCGGCTTTTCGAGCATTGTCGAATTCGAGAGGATGTGGAGTCGGAAGACACAGGGGATGTAATGAAGGGGTTGGAGACTAGAATGTTGGAGTCGAAACGAGAGATGGATTTGTTGGCAAGGGTTGAGGAGTTGAAGTCTGTGCAGGCGAGGCGTGGGGGAGTTAGTGTGGATACATTGCTGGAGGAGTTGAGGCGGAGGGGTGAGGAAAAGATGGTGGATGAAGAGGATGATGAGGCGCTTGTTAAATCGATGTTTGGTGCACGGTCTGAGAAGGATGTGTATGTGCTTCGGATTGATGATGATGATGATGACAGTGATGAGATTGCTGATAATGTCTGTGTGAAGAAACAGAAAGTTTCTGAAGTCGATTCGAGTAAATTTGTGACTTCAGATGTTAAGCAACCTGTCTTGCAGTCTAAGGCTCCGGCAGTCAGATTCATGGTGACGAGGAAACGAGTTCAGAAATCAGGCGGCGACAGTGATGCTGTGAAGAAGGAAGATACTGCCAGTGGACTTCAATCTCTTTGTCACTATGATAGTGAAGACGAATAAGCACACAGAACATGAGGTGCTATATAGTATGACTGTTTAAAGAGTTTCATGATTTTATTAGATGTCTCATGTCTAACATGAATATAATAAAAATTGTAGACTAATATGATAGTTTTGAGTTTGTTATATAATTGAAGTATTTGATTTTTCTTCTTTAGTCATGAGGTACTCAGAGATTAAAATTTTGTTCTCCTGTTATTAATCAGATATGGTTACAATAGTTTTTTATTAGTGTGCTTAAATTAACAAGGTATATCACACTTTGATCAATTGTTTTTAGTACACAAGAACATAACATCCAAATCTTGTACACCATCCTGTTCCAGGAGATGTGTTGACAATGTGTAATTAAATGAAGACGACTTGAGCAAAATTGAAACTTCAGATGGTATTCATGGTAATCAACCTAACTTGCACTCTTGCAGCCTCTGGCTTCAGTACTCAGATTCATGGTGATGAGGAACCAGCTCAGAATTCAGACGGCGACAAAGACTCTGTGAAGAATGAAGGGATTGCCCCTTGTAGTGAAGATGAATGAGCAAACAGAACATAATAAGGTATAGTCTGAACACTTTCCTGATTCTATTGGATGTCTAACATGAATATATGGAAATGACACTTTTGAGTTTGTTATATAAATGAAACTCCGTATTTGATTTATCTTATTATTATTATCCCGTAGGGTAGATTCAGAGATTATAATTTTGTTCCCCTGTTTTTAGTCTTATATGGGTTAGAATAGACTTCATTTTGCTAGCAGATGTTAGTTGATTCAAGAAGTTACAAATCCAAAATCAACCTATGATAGTCAGCCTACCCTGTTAGTGAGCTACTTGTGTTCGGCTTGAGAAGCTTTTGAACAAGTTCCTTTGTAATACATAAAGCAACATAAGCTGAGTTTTTATGATATATGAGTAATTGTAAGATTAAGTCTTAAAATGTTGGTGAGAAACTGAGAAGTCCAATATATAACTGTAATTTTATGGCTTTACTGCTTTAAGGTTCATTTTCTTAGCTTTAACATTAGGAGATCATTACTCACTCAAGTTGAGTACTCGAGCTGTTAAACTCAAACTTGAATTTGTTCTAGCTGAGCGGAGCTGCCCAAGCTCGAGCACAACTCAGCATTTGATGATAAAGAAAATAGTAGTTTTATGTATGTATATATGAGCATAATCTGCATGAGCAGGAAATATACAATTGAGATTAAAACTTATATTTTGCATGAACATAGTATATATTATGATGCTTAAACAAACTAAGCATAATAGTTACTACTCCCAGTTGGTCTTAATTTGACGAGTGTGCTTGAAATCACAAGTTAAAATCACAGTTCCATCAATTCTTTTTAGAACAAATCTTTCGACAAGAACATAACACCCAAATCTTGCCCACCATCCGATTCCTCCATACTCCTCATCTCTAATCATCCTCACTTGCTTTTCCTTCCCATTAACCCATCCAACTCTTTCTTGCTCCCATAACATTCTTTCAAAAATCAACTTATTCAACCCAACACTTTGTTGTTCTCCCACGTTACCAATGGTCTGAAACCAAACCGCCTTATTGTCTGAAGTTCTCTCATCTATAACAGCATCCTTTCCCCCTACTGCAAACTCTTGTGTTCGAACAACAACATCCATCATCACCTTATTATTATTGCCTTGGTTATAACTACTGTCAGTTATGAAAATCCTCTCCCACCGTTGTTCAAGTGTCATCTCATAGTACACTGAATCCTTTATTTGATCTTTCATCTTTCCCTCATGAATAAACATGAAAGGACAGTACCATTTACCAACACAAACAGGTTCTGAAGCTCCACGAGACAAGGGGAAGTTGAAGTCAGGAAGTTGTTCGCGCAGTGAACTATTAAGGCCATTGGCTTCTTCATATATGAAATCCTTGGAGTTTGTAGTTGATCTTTGAATGAGTGTAGGTGATTTGTTTCTTAAAAATCTCGGAGCATGACCATCAGGAGCAATGGATTTAACTATAAATCCTCTGCTTTCAGTGTTGCAGGTAACTTTCATCGAGTACTCAAACTCAAACTGCTGATATATATCTATAGGATCCAAGGGTTTAGGTGTCACATCTTGAATATAACTCCCTCCGCAACTTATGCCTTTACCTTCTTCCTTTGAACAAGCATACGCTTCTCTATTTCCAAACAATCAAACCAAAAAAGCAAAACAAGCTTTGTAAGAAATAAGCATCTAAAGTATTATGAACTTATGAAGTACCATTGCAAATATGACAGTAAATATGCTCATATATGTTCATATTTTATATGTATTCATATCTAATGCTTACCCTTTGTGCTTCTTATGTGCCTTGATAACGTAGTATCGATTTGAAGAAAGTGTCTGATTGATAACAGGAACAGCAAGGATTTGATCCCCATCATCAGTAAAAAGTATCTTGTTAGATGGAAGAGGCAAGTCGTTGATGCCGAGGCTCTTAGACTGACCAAAACAGGAAGGCATCAATGAACCATCGTCTTGGATAACAAGGTAACCCGAATTCGGACCTTCAGGGGGTGGAACTGAGAGCGAATCAGGGGATTTACTGTAAAAAGAAATAGGTCTAGTTACATACATGGTTGTTTTGTAACAGATTCACGGTGTTATCAACTATTCTTTTCAACTGATGTATAAATTGTGTACCATCTTCTTGTCTGTATATATCAGGTACCAGCTTACCATGTTATATAGTTGCTGTTTCAAGTTTTTTAATTTTCTGCCTCATTTTTTTCTTGGATGGTCAGTGACTTGTTCATAGATTGCTTAATTGACTTGTTCTGTTTTAGATTAGAAGTAGCTTAATTATATATTAGTAAATGCTAAGGTTTGATCGAAGCTAAATACTTAAAGAAATAAGAGTTGTTAGATAGGAAAATAAGGATATGATGATGACAAGTTGACAATTCTATTTTACCAAGTATCTTGATAGTCATGGCTCATGGCTTATTGATCACTACTCGTAGTACTATATTTCTTTATATGGAAAACATGCATTGAAACTTAATTACTAAGATATTTAAGTGATTTTCTAAGCCAACCTTTCTTGAAAAAATATAGCACATGGAATATCTTAGTGGAATATTATTTTTGATTTTATTGTGCTAATTTCCTATTGAAGGAAAAAGGAAAATTCACTTGGAAGAGCATGAACAATGGAAAGGAATGGAGGATATATATATCCTCTTTCATTTTCTCCCCTTTCCTCCGTTTGATACATCACATTTTCTTCCTCCACATCACTACCCATTATCTCAATATATACTCTAGAATTTTCTTAAACACCAAAATGTGTGTGTGTGTGTGTGTTTTTTTTTTGTGACAAAAAAACTATTAAAGAAAAACAGAATTACAACCTAAACATAAACTAATACAAGAACACAAAACAACCTACACACTCTAAGAACTATTACAAGAAGAACGAAGAGAACAAAATACTGAAAAGGTCTTGTGGCATACGAATAGCTGCGAAGCCCGAACAACCAAGAGAACCAACCCACATCCAAACTATGGACCAAGAGAGGCCGAATTGGCTGAAGCAGTCGAGATGGACCAAGAGCGCAGATCATAAACATTAAAGAGAACCCAACTTGGCATTGACAGCGAAGGGAAATCGTGATGGAAATTATTGGGAAATGGAAGGACACGAAATATGCACCTTGTTGCTAAAGAATAGACCTGTGACACCAATCCACTCCTAGGGATTAAAAAGCAAATATGCATCCTTAGAGTATGGGATCGGAACCAAACCTATAGAGTCATATATCCTAACGACACTATGAGAAACAGTGCATCCACATGCAGGTTCTCTTCTTGCAACTCTACCAACAGAGAATGCAAGAAAATGGAGGACTTTATTTGCTTAACCAAACATCAAAGATGGGTAGCCTCCTTCAAGACATTGATTAACATCGATGATTGACCTTGTCATCACCCAAACTAACAAAGGGATGATAGCAATTGCCTGAATTCCCTATCATCCCATAACCTAGCAACAAGACCCGCAAACCAAACTCTTCCCTCAAAACCACACACCTCGACAAGGCTATTTGTAAGACCACCAATCCATCTAATAAGAGAAAACTTAATCTTACAAACCATAAAGCCAACCAACAAGGCTCAAAAGACCACGACAACACTTCATTAACTTGCAATGCTAGAACTATTCTAAGAAACTCTAACTCAGGGCCAAGCTGAGAAAGAGGATCATTTAAAAACCAAAACCCAACCAACAAAACAAGAAACTTAAACAGCAACATAAATACAAAGCAACACCAAAAACAACTAAAAGGAAACAAGCTCATAAATAAACTAAAGCAAAACCAAAAACAAGAGCTAAAACAAAACAAGCTCAAACTTACATGAGAATAGAGGAAAAAGCAACGAAAAATTAATAAAACCTCACCGGCAGAAACTCAACCTAATACCAAGAACAATCGTCAACGACAACACAAAGAACCCCTCAATTAACCTAACCTTGGATACACGAGGAAACCCTAACCTTAACTTCACCTTTACCGTCGGGAATTAATTAACGAAATTCCTTTCGACGGCGGCGTTAAGACTAGCCTTTGGTTCTTAATTAATTCGTTGAAGCTAGCCGCAAAACACTTGACGATGAACCTAATAAAACGGAACCACCGAAGAGGACCTCTAAATTCTTCACCAACAGAGCAAAAAACGAAAAAATGAAAAAAAAAAATAGAAAGGAAACGGATAGGAGAACTGGGCTAGCCAATGACGACTAGGCAAAGAGCGCTAGTCACCGGCGAGCAGGGGTTGAGAAAAGGTAGGACGGTGGAGGCGGTAGAGGATAAGAATGGAGGTTAAAGTGAGAGTAGTTCTTATAAGGTAATTATGATACCAAAATGTGGGTTAGATTGGGGGCTTGCCCAGTTAATCTTCATGATTGACAAAATTTGTCAATCATAATCTCCACCTCAGCTTTTGTGACCCCCACTTGATGAATCGGCAAGATGAAACATCATTTTATTTGACGCGGTAACCGCAATTGGGTTAACCATTGAAAAGCTTCGTACTCTTTCTTGCTCCATTAAAGCTTCATCAACCTCCATTCCACCATTGAAGCTAGCTTTCCCATCTCCACAACCTTTGAAGCTTTCCCGACACCACCATTGATGATTCCCCAAAATCCACCAACCTTCCCCAATCTTAAACGAAAACCCTATGAATAAAGGGTGAAATTAATGGCATGGTCAACCCCTAAGGGTAGGGGTGACCATGTCCTCCATTCAAGCTCCCTCCATTGAGCTTGATTTTCGAAGATGGGTCGTTAATGGTAGAAGTGAGGTCGTCTATGGCAAAGAGAGGAGATGAAATATACATGACGGTGGTTGTGATGATGGTTGTGGTTGTGATGGTGGTGGAATGCTTTCACGTTTGACATCGATCGCCGATTGAGTGAGCTCTTCTCTTGGAAGTTACCTCCATTGTTGAGAGTTTGAGAAGAGTGAGGAGAGAGAAAGTTTATGGAAAATGTTATGTTAACGGCGTGAATTGTGTGACTGTGAGCTGGAGTAGTGATATGGCAAGAATGCCAACTGTCAATGGCAAATTTACCATACCATCCCTAATTTAATGATGGAAATCTCATTTACACCCTTATGATTGACAATTTTTGTTGATCATGAAGATCAACTAGTATTTCCCCGTTAGATTGTACGCATGTTGAGGAGTTCTTTCCTCTTCGCCAAGAGGATTATAACATTTCATTTTGCTAAAATGACCCTTTTAGTATGCTCAATATTAATAAAGATCAAAGGATCCTTTAAGCAATAAAATGAAGGAAGGCTAAAAGGAGAGATATCCTATTCATTGTTGATGCTCTCAGATGGATGAACAATGACTATGGATACAACGTACTTTATAATGCAATTTTATCCCTTTGTTGTTTATGGAGGTTGATAGCACAACATCTACAACGTTATTAAAACTCAAAAAGACAACATTCTAATATGATACAACCATGTGTCATTCTTTTTCCCTTGATATGTTTTAGGTGCCACATGAGTGTTTTGTGTCACCCTAAGTGTCATCATTCTTCCCTCAATACCTTTTTTTTTTTTTTTTTTTTTTTTGCACCATATGACTTATACAGCTCTCACATAAAGTTTGCCCATAGTGCAAAAAAAAAAAAGAGGGAATAATATTTTACTTTCCTTGAAAAAAAACTCTTCATATGTATAACCACACTATTTAAATTCTTTTAAAATGTAGCTCATTAGAATTTGCACAATAATATATAATCTACTTTGTATAATTGTATTTTTTTTGTTGATATTTAGTAGTATTAACATTAAAATTACAAATATTTGATTTATCCTATACATTATTAATGCAAGATTTTAAAAAAAATTATTATAATCAATTAATTCATACAAACAACTAATGAATTAGGCTCTCAATGACAATCAGGGCCAAAGTATAGTATTAATAAATTTTGGGTAATGCTACATGTAGCCCTTAATTAGGACTATAAATAACTACTAAATATCTTTCCTTGATATATTAGTTTAGGAATGCAGGATAAAATCGCATATAAGTTAATATAATTAATGAATATATTTCATTAATACTACCTCCCTTAGGACTATATATAGCATTAAACATCAAAGTTATAAATTATAATGATGGGGCATCGTCCGGGACAATAAATACTTATTGTATAAAATGGACTAGATTGTATTCGTGCTTCATTTCACTTGCTCTAATCCGATATAATGTTAAATAAGTAGATTCACTATAATATGCACTTTCCAAATATGGATTTTATATATATAATTTTAGTAACATCAAAATTAAAGATCTTAAACGATAAACAAGCCCTAATTATAAAAAATAAAAAATAAAAAAAAAACAATCTCAACTTATTTCGACGTAATATACTACCTTCGTTAAAATTAGTTGCAACTTTGGAATATTATTTCTTAGATATAAAATATTCCAAAGTTGCAACTAATATATAACAGAGGTAGTATATAATATAATTTGATCTAAAAATTAATTCTTAAATAAGCAAATATTAACTTGAGTAAATTGAAAAACATATCCCTACATCAACTTTTATCTTTAAAACATTATTAAGAAGGTGGCTTATACTTTAGTGTAAACTAGGTTAGGCCCGTGTCATACACGGTTATTTTAATTACCCCATATCTTCTTTTGACAAATTAATTTAATTATAGCATAAATTATAAAAATTGTTAATCTTGAACAAAATTGAAGTAACATGGAATATTTTATCAAGATCAAATTTTTAAAAAATATTTCACCAAAATCACACCTTCTTGAAAAAGATTATATATTTCCTTATTATTCCATAATTAATTTTGTATTTGCATAAAAATTAGTAAATATTATTGCTCATTTATATAGTTAACAAAAACAAACTTTTTTAAAAAATAAATTCCTTCAAAATAAAAGTAATTAATTATTAAAAAAAATATATTAAAGACACACCAGAAATTGACACGAGTCATTGCTGGTGTGTATTTTACTATATAGTTATTGATTATTGATTGATTGATTAAGATCCTTCCTTTTAACAATAATAATAATGCTAAAAGCATAAGTTAGATGATGAATATGTAATAGAAAAATCTATTAATTTAGAAATTTATTTGATAGAAACATGTATTTTAGATTTAATTTGCACCCGCCTATGGGGCGTAAGTGCGTAACAGCTTAAAAAGCAAAGTAGGAAAATAAATTATTCTAGAAAACTCAGCACTAACCACTAAGATACATATAAAAGTTAAATATCTTCACTGATTAAATCACAGTTCTTAAAACCATCTCAATATCGTTGGCAATCGCTATGGCATCCTTTGAAACACCTTGTAATCCCATCCTTGATAATCCAGCACAATATAATTTATTCTTTCCTTTCCAGTGATTTGGTAAACGATTCTTTGGAAAACCATCGTTCTTTAGTATAAAATCATAATCCTATAAGTAAAAATAAAAAGATAAAAAAAAAAAAAAACTTCATTATTAAGTGTATGTTAAATTAATATATTATACTTATTGATAAGGTAAACCCAAGAGAAAAATAATGCATAAATAATATGATTAATGTCTATCTATGTGTGCATACATGTGTGTAATACTAAGATTGGATTATTACTTAAGTTACATAAACTTGAGGTAAAAGTGTGCATACCGTAAGCCATTCACAAGCCGTGCTTTTGAATCCTGTTGCAAATATTATTGCATCAAAGTTTAATTCAACTTTATCTTCAAATATGACTTTGCTCTTATTAATGCTCTCAATCCCCGGTAAAACCTATAAGTTTCACAAATATATTGAAAAAGACAGTTAAGAAATTTGCAAATAAAATACAACATATGATAAATTTGATGGTACTTTTTATATATATGAAGATATTCATGGTACTTAGTAATTTATTACAATAACAATATAACATTATTCAAGATTGTCCATTTTGTCCCCATACAATGAAACAAAAAATTATCCAAGGGATGAAATAAAATTTGAACCACAAAAATTTATTGACAAATAAATAATTAAAAGAATTTACCTTAATTTCTCCAGATTGAATTTTGGCAATAGTTCCCACATCAATAACCGGGCTTCTTCCCTTTGTTGCCTTAAGCAAAAAAGGGCCTTCATTTGGTCGATAGATTCCATAATTTGATAAATTCCCGTATTTCAAGTAGCTAGCAAGAGTGACTAGAGCGTCCACTGTTGATAAACTAAAGTACTTTAGCAAGTGCATCCCTACAAAGATCATTTCTCTTGCAACCACATGAACCTATATATATGAACCAACAACAATAAAAGAATAATACATGAGTATGGTTTATTTATGTTTCCTATGTTTACAAGATAAAAAATGTGATTAAAAAAAAAACTTACTGGGTTTCTAATAATAATTGAAGTGTTGGCTCCTGAATTACACAAATCATAACTAATTTCCATCCCAGAATTACCACAACCAACGACCAACACATCTTTGTCTTGAAATTCACGACCAGACTTATATTCACTAGAGTGCAATACATCTCCTTTAAAATCCTTCAAACCGGGGATATTAGGGATGTAAGCCTTGCCATTTTCACCTGTTGCGACTACCAAAAAACTCGCGACGAACAATTTAGATGTTTTCACAAAAGTGTCCTTAGCTTCAACTAGCCATTTCCCCTTGGCTTCATCAAATGATGCAGATTCAACATAGTGAAAGTATCGTGGCCTAATATCAAATTCGAAAACATAATCATCAATGTATTCTATGAAATCATTCTTACTCATATATTTCTTAGCTTGTGGTGCATGGGGCTTATGGGGTAATGAGCAAAATTCTTTTGCTAGATGAAGATGGCATCGGTCATAAGCGCGTTTCTTCCAAAGAGAAGCACAACAATCTTCCTTTTCAAGAACAACGTAAGGAATAGATTTTTTGGTTAAGCATGCAGCAATGCCTAGTCCTGCAGGACCTGCTCCCACTATTAGGACAAAGGTTTCTTCCATATGTTTGTTTTTTTTTTAATTGTTTTGATTTGCAAAAGAAGGTATATATTCGAAGGGAGCAATTGGACTTTGGGGGTAAGTGTGTTTTTTTTTTAATTTGAGGGATGGAATAATTTGAGACTAAATAGTGTGTTTCGAATTACCCCTCCAGAGTGTTTAGTGTCTATATAGAGGGTTGTGTTGTAATATGACAATGAATATTACATTTATATGATGATTTTTGTACTTTTTGGAGAGAGCGCATTGTCATGTGGTGTTTATCATACTAGATTTTTCAAGTAATTTTGATATTTTATAATTTACAGAATATAACTTACTAAGACATGCTAAAAAGTAATAAAACAAAATAAGCATTCCTATATTTAATATAAATAATAATATGACAATTAGTATTTGTAAACTTGGTAGATTAATTATTTTTGTGATGATTTGGGTAACTTTTTGGAGGGCACGCATTGGCATGTGTTCTTACTAATATTTGACAAATTGGCATTATAAGATGTACAACATATAATTTGCTAGGAGGTGTAAAAAAACTAAATAAACTGACAACATTTTCTAAATTTGATGTGAATTCAATATAGTAAAACGGTATCTTAATTGATTCCATTTTTTCTTGACAGTTTTATTAAGTCTAAATAACTTATACAAAATTAGCATTAATAATTCTCTAATTATTTTAGTTGTATTGTAATTCTAGGACATAATTGAAATGAAATAGAATGTATAAAATTAGTATTTAATTAATATTATTTTTACGTTAATTAAAATGAATTAAAAAAAAAAAAAAAAGAAAGGTGCATAGGTAAAAAGGTACTAAATTCACCAAGCAATCATCTATGTATCCTACAAAAAAAATTCACCTATCCAAAAGATATATTGTAAGAGGAACTTATGATTATAAGATGCCTACTTATTTATCAAATTAATGGTCATGTATGTGTATTGGATTTTCTATAGCCAAATCATCAATGGATTAGCTAAAATTAAATATCTTATGTACATAAACTTAATTGTGAGTATACTACCTAATTATCTATATCAAAGGTCATTGGATTTTCTATAGCCAAATCATCAATGGATTGTCTGAAATTAAATATCTTATGTACATAACCTTAGTTGTGAGTATAATACCTAATTATCCATATCAAAGGTCATGTATATATGTGCATTGGACTTCCTATAGCCAAACATCAATGGATTAGCCAAGTTTAAATTACTTATGTAATTGTGATTACAATGGCTATTAAAGATGAAATTTATATCTTATGTACATGAACTTAAATACTTAATAAGTAATGGTTATAAAGTGCATAGTAGGTATTGGATAGTTCCATATTTGTACATGAACTTATCCAAATAAACCTGCCTAACATTGAGGCTTGTGGATGAGCTTATCCAAGTTGTGTGCACGATCAAACTTATAAGAGCCAAAAAAAACATTGTGTTGATCCTTCAAAATTGGGGCTTGTGCATGACTTGGACCACACATTGTGCTATGCTAATGAACCCTTAATAATTTTTTAAATTTTTGGTCAGCAAGCATGTTGATGTGGTGCTCAGACCGCAATGCTCGAGCTTATGTCAAAATCTTGCCAAAAATTGAAAAATGATATATATGGATAGTTCATGGCCCACTAACATACCTACCTTATATTGGATGTGTCATGTCGAGCCATATTCATGTCCGACTCAAACACTCCTTGACCCATACCCAACTGTAAGTGGTAGCTAATTTACACGGCCATGCTCGACTAGTTTGTAATTTGAAGGTTTCAATAGCTGAAATGACTTGAAAATTACTCTTCTAGATTTGAAGTGACTAAATTGGATTTTGGTCTGCGCTGCTGCATAGACATAATGATTTAGCATGACGTGCTGACATAACTCTATTAGACCCAAACCTAACAACCTGCAATCTCGATTTGATAGCTCTGTGAGCTAAGTCGGTTCATAAGGTGTGATACCGGGTGTGTGAGGGAGCCAGGATTCTGATGGAATTGGGTTGAGCTGATCAAAACAGGCCTTATAGCATTGTAAGTTGTAACAAATTATACAAAATGATGAGGCAAAGGTTGACCAAAGCCCAAACACTCGGTGGATTCTGGACTTCTGTCTTCCCCGGCCCATTACACAACCTTTAGTTGTAGATTTGAACATCATAAGATTTTGCTCTAAACTGCCATTATACCATAATTACTTATCATAAGATTTTGCTCTTAAAATTTTTGAAGGATAAGAATTAAGAATTATACTAACATCATAAGATTTTTCTCTTGAAACTGCTAATTTTTTTTTTTTCATAAGATTTTGCTCTTAAGAATATTGAAGGATAAGAATTATTATCATTAAATAAGCCTATACAAATTCCTCAATTTATTCTCAGTTTTACAAATTGTATGTGCAATTGTAAGCTATGGACTAATTCAAACTCACAACACATCAATTTACTTGTCAAAAATGGTCCAAACATCAACCCATTTAATCCTCAATTGATGTGTGTGATTAAAATCAAAACTTAAAGCAATGCTTCCATCCATTCTTTTGAACACAAATCTCTCAACTAGCATATAACAAGCAAACATCTTATATGTACCATCATATGTTCTATATTCCTCTACTCGAGCTATATTTGCTTGCTTTTCCGTGTTATTAGACCATCCAACTCTTTCTTGTTCCCACATCATTCGCTCTACAATCAATGAACTTAACCCAATTCTACTACCATCACCGTTGTAGTTGTCTATTACTCGAAACCACTGCACCCCTGCACTAGCCCTGTCATTAGTCTCATTACTAATTTCCACGGCTTCCTTTCCATTAACCTTAACTCTTTGAGTAGGAATAGTAACATTAAAAGACACAATATTTCCTTCAGTACCATTGTTTTTGTGGTAATAAATCCTCTTCCATATTTGCTCGAGTTTTACCTCATAGAACATAGACCTTTTTACCTGTTCTTTTGGTGTCCTTTCTTTGACAAACATGAAAGGAGTATACCATTCACCTACCAATAGTACTTTGGAACATTCTTCTGATGGTAAGAAGTTAAAGTCAGGAAGACGAGCACGTAGAGCATAATTTAGTCCATCAGCTACACCAAGTGTGAAATTTTTTTGATCTGAATTCCATAGTCTCCACCCTCCATTTCTCATGAACGTTGGAGGATGACAATAAGATGCTACAGATTTGACGCGAAACATAGAATTTCCACACTTTGTAGTGAATGAAAACTCAAACTGTTGTTTTTTGTCAATAGGATTCAGTTCTTTTGTTTTTTTATCTCTGATGTTGCTGATGCAGAAACAGCTTGTCTGCCTGTTGTCCTCCGTCGAACTTGTATAAGCCTCCCTGACAGTAAAACCATATAACAAACAATTTAATCCAACAAAAAGAAACAACAAAGAGTACTGAATGTTCAGTATTGGCATATTTTTTCTTGTTGCGAAAGAAGTGGAAACTCAAAACTCGCAATAATGACAGATTGAACAATCTAGTAGCTAATAACATAGGTTTTTTTTTAATAATCCATACATACCCTTTATGATTGCCTTCATTCTTGATGGCATAATATTGATGAGATGATAAGGGTTGATTAATAACAGGTATCAAGAACAAAGGGTAGTTAGTGGTATTTTTGTCACTTTTGTGCTGAATAATGGGGGACTTGTTCTGTGGAAAAGGGAGATTTGTTGTAAACGAGTTGTTGCACAACCCGAAACATGTAGTTGATGTGGAATCTTCATCTTGCAATACGAGGTAGCCGGAATTTGGACCTTCAGGAGGTGGCTGAGCAAGAGCCTCAGGGGACTTCCTATACAGAGACAGAAGCCTTGTTACATACATTTTGTCTTCAACAAAGTTGGACCTGATGTTCTGTTGAATACATATTTGTACAAAAATAAAGTAAATAGATGACTTTCACAACTTTATGGCTATAATTATACAAGTAGAATATTGTTAATTACTTGTCATGATAATAATTATTGAATTTTTAATTTTCCTGGTTGATGAAGAAGGAAATGGCACATAGACTTTGTCTTATATAACTTTTGTAAAATCACGTCGTGTATGTTTGTCACTATTGGCCTTTACTTACCACCATCACCATTCACTTCATAAATCACGTCGTGTATGTTTGTTTCTAAAGACTTCGATTTTTGTTGCTGCACAACAACTAGAAACGTTTCATAGAATGAAAATACGTAGCAAATGTTAATTATTACCTGTTATAATATATCAAAGGCTCATCAGTTTTTTATCTTACAGCATACCAAATCAAGGAAGAATGACATGCTAATTGATCTGGTTAAAAAAACTGAAGCATTAGTCATTGTAAATTTGGAAAATTTTAGACATTGTATGAAGTTTGCTCATCTCTTCTTTATATGTTACTCTTGCAGCGTGAAGCTCGTAAATTCCATAGCCTCCCTGTCTAAATCAGTAGCAGTGGCTTTTGAAAGCACAGGATACGACATTATGCAGCACAAAATATACCAGAGCTTGAATATATCAGTTGAACCATAATTTGTTTGTACACAATGCTTATACATTCATTTATCAAGTAATTAAAACCAGTGAAGTTACTATTTTACAGTTGAAGAAAACAAATCACATCTTTCATACCATTTGCCACACGCATAATACTTAACAGATCTTTTGTCTCTTGTACTTGTCTTAATCATTTTTCAAGGACAGAACAATCAAGTTTAGTGAAGAATATTCATTCCCATTTGCCTCTGATCTTATGAGTATGCTTGAACTCATAGGTTAACACTAAGCTCCCATCTAGTCTTTTTAGCACGAATCGTTCAAAAAGCACATAACAACCAAACTTTTTCCACAAATCACTTCCGGTATATGTCTCAATTCTCGCAACCATCACTTGCTTTTCGTTCCCATCAACCCACCCTACTCGTTCTTGCTCCCACTTCATTCTTTCAATGACCACCAAACTTAGTCCTATCCTCGATTGCAATCCCATTTCACTAATAACCCAATACCACATTATGTTGTGAGCCTCATCTCTTTCAGAAACAGCATCCATCCAAGATATCTTGACAAGTTCAGTAGGCAGTACAACACTTACAGACACTGAATTATCGCCTCCTACTTCAACTCTTTTACATGAATATATCCTCTCCCATTACTGTTCTAGTGTTATTTCATAAAACGTCGACCTTTCCATTTGTTCTTTTAGTGATCCCTCCACAACAAACATGAAAGGACAATACCATTTTCCAACTGTCACTGACTTTGAATGCTCGGTAGATAAAGGGAAATAAAAATCTGGAAGCTGAGATCGAAGTACTGAATTAAGGCCATCTGCCTCACCTATCATAATCTTGGTTTTCAAGTGGTTGATCCTCCATCCTTGTTCCCTCAGGAACTTTGGAGGAATACCCTCAGGATGAACAGACCTTGCAGAAAAGCGGCTAGTCCTTGTTTTGAAGATTTCAAACATTTGGCAGATGTTATGGGGGTTGAGTTTTTCTGGTTCTTTATCTGTTATGCTACTGCAGAACAAACAGCAAGTTTCTGTATCTTCCTCTTTTGAACTTTTGCATGCCAATCTATACATTTCAGAAAAAATAACTTATTTGAAGTTGGTAATATATAACTTTTGCAGGTTTCTCACTAAAATCAGATCACTCTTCTCATTTGACCTTAAATCTATATACTCGTACTTTGTATATATTGTCATTAGACAACTTATGTTTCAACTTTTATGTTGTTGTGACAACCAAGCCGAAAGCTTAATAGTCATTCGTGTTATAAAATGCAAGACTGACAATTTGGTGACATTCAAATACAGAATGGAACTTAGCAAATGTCATTTAAATGCAAAGTCACAATGTTAAATGGTGATAAAAAAAACATAGATAATACAAGAAAATTTATCTGATTAATCTACTTGAGTTATAGTATGACTAGAAGTTTATGTTGGATAATATTCTAACCAAATAGTAATATGATGAAAACTTTGTTAACTTACCCTTTGCAGTTTCTATCTGCCATCATCACATAGTAGCAATTCGAAGACAAGGGTTGATTGATGATAGGTATGAATAAGGTCTTATGCTTCTCAGTATGATCACCACTTGGTCCGCCGTATGAATAAGTGTAACATACTGTAAGAATCTTGTTTTGAGGAAAAGGCAAGTCCTTAAGTAACGCCTTAGGACCGGAAATTGAGTGGACATACTCAATGTCTTCATCATTCTGAAGTACTAAATAACCAGAACCTGGTCCTTCTACTGGTGGTATAGACAGTAACTCAGGATGACTCTTGTATAGGGAAAGCGGTCTTGTAACATACATTTCAATTAAACTCAATCTGATTAGTCTTGTATTCGTCGATTTTTCTGTTTTTGCTGATGTTAAAACAGATTTATGTGAAACAATTGTTAATGCAATATATTTGTGATTGATCATGTATTATTGAGAATGAGCTCAAAGTTGTCTAAACATATAATAACAAATTAACAAGCCACTAGTTCATTGACATATATTTATTTGTATCTTTTTCATGCTAGAACTTTTATTACTAGTTCTACATTCTGTTGTTAGAGGGTTGAGGTTTGAATGTTTTATGATAATAATAAGTCAGCTTAACTTGCTTACATGTACTGATGTAATACAGTAGAAAAATAAAAAGTTTATATATATTGACTTTTTGATGTCTGAAATTTTATTTGTTAGTTGATAAGTATAATATGAAAACTACATAAAATAAAATATTTTAAGGTAGAATGGTACCCCTTCTATTAAAAAAAAAAAAAAAAAAAAGAAGCTCAAATTCAATTAAAATACAGATATGATATATGAAGTATACATCTCCATCTTCTCAAATACTTCGTACAAGGTTTACAACAGGTTTAGTCACCCAAATCATATATAAATTGTCAGTTTGCAAATAAACCCGACATTTACGTTATTTCACTTGTTTGAAATGACTTAGGTCTATTGTATGACTACCTTAGCAAAAAGCATATAAAAGAAACTCACTAGATGCATGCATGATTACTATTAATGATAGTAACAGCAAGAAAATTCAACCAACATAATACATGTCTTTCTGTCTTCAATTTTGTAAAACCAATTACATTGTCAGTGGTACAACAGACAGCATAAGACCAGTCTTAGACATATTACAGAAAGACAACTTCTTCCTTAGACCTTAAGCCGCAAGAGCTTTTCTTCTCTGACATGCTTTTACCTTAGCAAATCTTCAGACACACACTTTATTTTTTTTTTCATAATTGTGTTTTTCTGATAATCATAACTCTTTAAGTCATAATTTAAGAGCTTATACTATAATGCTGTCCAGCATCTATGTGTATGCCAACCATACCTTTTTTTTGTTCTCACCGAATTTTTTACTTACTTTTACACCCTCCAAATCATATAAAGATTGGCAAAAGTCAAAAATATGATTTCAAATGATATATTGACCACTTACTATTAAGCTCTATCAAGACGTAATTTGATTAAGCTCTATCAAGACGTAATTTGATCTCAGGTCTTGATCGAGTATCAACATGAAGACTTTACTGTTACCATGAATAGCGTTTACACATTCACAAATGATACATAGTATAATAATGCTAAGCAAAATTGAAATATATCTCATATGTGTGGATGCCAATTATCTTAGTTGATTAAAGTTATCAGGACGGTGCTTGAATCTAATTTCGTTTACATAGCTCTCTTTACAACAAAAAATATAGACATATGTTTGTATCTAAAATTTGATCCAAGTCTTGGACTAAGTAATGCAACCTAACTATGTAGTAATCAAAATATGAAAAAAGTTAATGAAATTCTTGCAAAGAACAAAAATGCATTCACAAGATGAAACAGGGGAATTAATGACACAAAACAATCCCCATTTGATTGTTGATGGAAATATAGAAACTAGGAAATAAATAAATGATTTACATAAAGAACAATATTTATTCAAGACTTAAAATCATGATCATCAAATTTAGCAGAACTATTCTGAGGCCTGAAAAACCATTTCCAAACCTTGTTATTCTTTCTGCATTTCTTCAATTCCCTTTCCCTAACACTACCACTAATCCTACATGATCCCCCTCCATTGCTGAACATCTCATGCACCAAAACATCCACCCTTCGAAACCCGAACTCCTTCATCGATAACCCGAGCCCGTTTCGCCTCATAGCAGCAAGATCAGGCACCTTTGAATAATCTGATGATGACATACTAGTATTATCATTCAGTTTCAAATCTATAAATGCAGGATCATCAGAACTCACAAATTCAGTCTCCTTTAATGAAAATATATTACTATTCTTATTTGGACCAACCAAATTGGAGGAATCACAATAATCAAAGTTGCTAATTCTTGCTTCAGATTCACTAAAACAGCTTCTTTTAGCAGAATCTAACATGAAATTTCCAGTGCTTACATTAGAAGCTCTTGCAGCAGAATAAGAAACAGGAAACCCTCCAATTTCATCAGTATCATAAAACCCTCTAAAACTGCTAAGTGATCTTGATCTTGAAACCCCATTACATTCATAATTCTCCTCATTAATCTTAATCTGATTAATCTTGTCTCTTTTCTTCCTAAACAACCTCTTAATCTTCCAGAACTTTCCTGCTGTTTCTGATCTCTTACTGTCATTCAGAGCAATGCTGCTGCATCTTTTCAGATGGGCAAATTCATCAGTGTATACATTGCTGAATTGTGATGACCTTTGCTCGTGTTTCGGTTTCGAACCCGAAATCTCAGGACCACCCTTCTTCTCATTCTCAAGCAAGAATGAGATTCTTCCAACATCAGAAGAACTTGAATTTGAAGTTGAGATGATATCAGAACAAGAACAAGAAGTTATCTTTTGTTCCCCACATTGTTGGCAGACTAACTGAACTAGTCTATCAGTAAGACAATAAGCACAAATTCCACCAGAAGAAGATGATGAAGTTGGGTGTTTTTTGCAGGGAAAATCTGGGAATTTTTCATCAAAGCAATCTCCATTGTTATTATATGGTTCTAGCTCTCTTTTTCCCCTGTCTTTCATGGTTTGTATGATGGAAAAAATTACTATTTTGGGTTGTGAAACTGCTGCAAATTGGAGTATTAAGACAAGATTTTGAAATGGGTTGTTGAGATTTTATGATCAAAAAGAGGAAAAGCAAAAAGACAGAGAATTTGGGGTTTTAACTTTTAAAGTGGAAAGGAAAATATGAAAGGGATAGTAGAGTAAAACAGTGAAAGTGGTGTTCTTAAACTTAATTTTGTCGAACTTCATTTATTTTAGTTATATAGTAATTTTTTTAAAAAACAAACTTTTAAATAAATTGGATATATAGAATAAAATATGTAAATCCGATAAAGTTACCCTAAAATTAACCAAATTTACCATTTTATGAATAAAAGTTACCCGGACGTAAATAAGTTATAACGTATTTATTTTTTATTGATAAAAGTTACCCAAAAAATTATAAAAGTGACCCAAAAAATTCTAAAAATGACCCCCAATTACTGTTCATCGGATGTATACAAAATTTAATTTACAAACGTTACTTTAGCCAAACTTGATAGGTTCGAAATTAATGTATTAACGAATTCCTTTTTTTCATGAAATTCTTCCTACTTATTATTATTATTATTATGTGGTTTAAGTAAGAAGATTATGATAGTGTTTGATTACTATTTATAAATTAGAGTGTAAAAGAAAAACACTTTCAAGTAAGATCATTAACATAATTATGCAACAAACTACTTTAGAAAATTACGAGTATACACAGTAATATTCCATATTTTGTAAACTAAGAAAACTAATTAGTCGTAACTATTAACTATATAGTTTGTGTATAGTGGCCTCAAAAAAAAAAATAAAAAAAATAAAAAAAAAAAAAAAATAGTTTGTGTATAGTAATAGTAATGTTAGCGGGGCGGATTTTAATACAAACCCGCTTCACATTTACCCCATTAAGGTAGGGATGGTGAAGACTAGGTGGGTGATCAATGGGGTGGAGGTAGATATAAAAATCATATTTATATCTATCTATCATGGATGATAGGGCGGGTGGAGAATTTTATGTGAGATCAATTCATTTATTAAAATCTATTAATTTTACATATTTATCTTTATTTATCAAAATTTAATAAATGATACGGAGTATAAGTCATTGAAATACAAATCTATCTATGTATTATGTTTTTAATTTTTATGTAGTTCTTATAATATGTGTTGAAATTAGATTAAACTTGACACGTGAGGTGAATTTTATTAGGGCGGATAAGGTAGATATGGGTGGTGTAGTGGTACAAGAATAAGTTTTGTTTTGTACTTAGTGAGGGTGAGGGTGAGGGTGAGGGTGAGGGTGAGAGAGGGGATGGGGTGGAATAAGTTGTTTACCTATATCATAAATAGGGTAGATAAGTAGAGATGAGGATGAAAATTTGAGGTGAAGATGAACAGGAGTGTCTTAAACATCTTAGAGGCTTTATGCTATTTACACAAATTGAGCCCCTAATAATTAAAGTCGTACTACATAAAATTTAACATGATATTATTTCTTTTGCAAATTAAAGCTCTAAAATTTAAAATCAACCAATAATGTACCATCCATTCATTTCTTCAAGAATCCCTAAAAATCAATTCAACCTTCAACAAATCATTCATAATAGCTAAAAATCATAATGTTTATAGTACTGGTATTAAATATAGTGTGATAATTAGAGATATAGTATTATTTAAATACTAGAAATTTTTTAAAAAAAATATCAAATTGAGGCCCGTGCAATGGCACTCTTTGCCCTCCATCTTCTATAACACTGTAAATGAGAGAGACCAATAAATAATGTGTACATTCTGTCACTTGCCCCATTAACATCTCTAATAAGTAATAATATCACTTTTATTGGGTGGAATAAATAATGTGTACAAACGATATTAATCCGTATAAGTATACCCTAGGTACAATCCTCTATTAATCAGAAATGCAATTAGCTTTGTACATTCTATAAAATTCTCTCAAAATATCACGTTCTCTATCTAGAAAACTCGATATACTTGAATTTCCTTGTGCTCTCACTTATGCTGACCATACGAGAAGACTTTACTACGAAAATTCTACAATATATAACGTGTATCGCTATATACTACTCAAGCAAAATACTGATATGTATATTAATCATAAGAACAATAATTGCCTAAAGAAAGATGTTAGGTAATGATGATTGGGATAATATCATAGAAATACAAATTTATTTATCCTGGAGAGAGTGCACAATATACATGACAACAATGTATACTTTACCGCTATTTCACCAAATGTCACTAAGCACTTTAATAATTCATCAAATGCCATCAAGATTTTCAAAATTTACCAAATGTCACCCAGTTTTTATTAAATTCACCGATTGTCATTACTGACTAATAGTCGTTAACTCAGTTATGTCATGATATGATTGGTTCATTTATCTAAATTTTGTAAAAATTAAAAAGAAAAAAAAAACAAAAAAAAACCCAAAATTTTCCCAGCCACCTACCCACCACCGCCAAACCCTACCCCATAATTGAAGATTCACCGGGTGCTAAAGGACCGGCCGACCGATTGTTGGTGGTTAAAGGGGTTGCCGACCGTTTTCCGGCGAGATAAGTGGAGGGGCTATGGTTTGGCGGTAGTGGGTAGGTGGCTGGGAAAATTTGGGGTTTTTTTAAATTTTTTTTTTTTGAATTAAGATAAATGATCCAATCATATCATGATATGTATCATGATTAAACCTAATGACTAACGGAGTTAACGGCCGTTAGTCATTAATAGCACTCGGTGAATTTTTAAAAAACTGGGTGACATTTGGTAAATTGTGAAAAATCTGATGACATTTGGTGTAGTTCTAAAGTGCTCAGTGATATTTAGTAAAATAGCGGTATACTTTAATAGCATCACTTATCCCACAAGGCCACAAAATGCATGAATTGCTTTGCATGAGCAATTGAGCAGCATAGCATAGCAAGCATTCCAAGCAACATTTTGCGTGTGGGTTGAAAGTTAAATTGAAGTGACATATGTCTTGTCTATTTATGAGAAAGAGACAACACCTCATCGTTGTTGCCCACATAGATAGGCTACGTAAGTACGTACTAGAAGTGTCAAAATCAAACCGATCTGAAAAAAATTATCCGTTTTGAGTTGTAACCGATCCAATTTAATCCGAAAAAATTAAGACTCAAATCCGATCTGTAACCGAATCGAACTCGACCTGAATCCGAACCTGACCCGATTTGAACTTAATCCGGCTCCAATTTGATCCGAAATGAACACAACCCAAATCCAATTTGATCTGACCTGAACTTAAATCGAATCGATTTTACCCAACCCGAGCTCAACCTGATCCAAAATTAACCCGAAAAATAACCGATCTAATCCGATCTGTTACTGATATCAACCCGACCCGATTTTAACTCGATTTGATTTTTACCCGATCCGAATTTAACCTGACCACAATTAATTATTGACTTTTTTTATTCCAGTTCTTATACTACTATATTTACTAATTCTAAATAAGTTAACTTATTTACTACAAAAAAAATAATGCGGAGTAACAAGTTTACTTCATGTACATACCAGTTATATAAACATACTTTCTAAGCTTTATATTCGGGTCTCATCTAAAAGATGACATTGAAGATTGTACAATTGAAGATTTATAATAACCTTACAAAGATGACATTCTTATTTGTATACTATATACCACCATATATGTAACTATCATTTGTCAATATATCACTAGCTCATTATTTATCATTTCACTTATATAGGTATGATTAGTCATCGATAATTATTCAATTTCAATTTGCCTCAAAGATAAAAATTACACATAACTTGATCAAATGAGAAAACTTAAATTACGTAATTCGTAATTAATAATCAAAAGATTAAAATATATTATACGACTTGATATTAACCCAATAATAAGGTAAAAACTCAATAATAACTCTAGTTTAAAAATAACCTTATTTGGATATGAATTTGGTCAACTTGAGCAAAATCCAGCCAAACAAAAAAAGGAATTGAATTAAAATTAAATAATAATGAATCAACGGTACGGATCAAACCTTATCTTAATCAAACCAAACGTGACCGAATCGAAATCAACCCGACCCAAATCCATCCGACTCGAAATAACCTGGTTAAACTCGTTTTGAACCCGAACCGAAAGTGAACCGAACTGGAGTTGACCCGACCCATATCCGACCTGGAATCGATTGACCATAACCCGAATTTGATCCGACCCGAATTTGACCTGACCCGATCCGAGTTAAGAGAATAATTTTGACCCGAATATATCCGATCTGAACATACCCGACCCGAATAGACCCGACCCAAACACCATCCGGTTATCCGAATTGACACCTCTAGTACGTACTTCTCCGTATATTATGCGTATATTATTCACAAACAAAGTTTTGACACAAAGCCTTTTAAGTGTGTGGTTTGCAAATACGGAATACTAAGCTAAAAAAATTGTGATTGAGGATTGGTTGAGTTATGATTAGGGTCATTTTCTTTATCGATATCGATAAAAGAAAATTATAATGTGTTGAGAAATATCTTGATTTCCGTGTCATTATATTCAGGTCGAGAAAATGGCTCGTTTAATGTTTTAAAATCATTTTGACCCTTTAGGATCAAATTTGAAGTTAAAATTGGCAACAACAAATATAAAATAAAATTAAAAAATCACAAACATCTTGGTCTTATACCATGTTATATCACGCATATCGAGATATTTATTGACATGCAAATTTATTACGGAGTAATGTTTTACAAATACTATTTTAAGTTGAATTCTTAAAAGCCAAAGTGACCCAGAACCTTAACTACAGGGTTAAATCTCTTTTTATACCAAATTTGTTTTCAACTTATTAATTAAGCTAAAACACTTTAATGGAAGATTCAACACATTTATATAGGGTCTAGGGAAGCATAGAGTTATAGATTTGATAGTTAATGGCTCCGTTTGGCAAAACGTAACTACACAAGCTATAAGGGTAGTTATTAGTTATGATAATTATCTGGATTTGTACTAATAAATTAATAATTTGCTAGGTGTAAGCGTGTAGCATTCAAGAGGAGGGTCTTCTAAGATATTTTCTTCTTACCTATCAACAAAATGTATAATTAATTTTCAATTTCTTAACAACATAATATGAATACTTTGCAAAAGAAAATCATCTCCTAGCTAGTGATGCAATAAACGGAGTACTTTCATCAATTAATAATAGAGTTAGATAATGAAACTACTACATTGACGAACTATAATGTTAAATTTATTATTCATTAATTAATTAGTTGATGAATCAAGAAAAGATGGATCACATTGCACTAATGAAGCTTTTGTCATCAAATCAATCATGGTATAGGATCGTATTGAGACCCACGAGTTAGGTACATGTATATTGTTACATGTATATTGTTATATTGTTATGTTCTCTTCCCCTTAATTTCATTTGTCTTATATAAAGTTCTCCGTATTATTTTACGGAGTATTTATAAGTCCTAAACTTATCTAATTTTACCTCGTTTTAATTTATCAACTCTTATTTTATACGAAGTATATTGTTATACAAGGTGTTATATAAGCTTATTGAAATAAATTAGTCTTATTGTATAAAGATGAAGTGAATAGAGTTATAAATTCATGGTAAATTCATAATTCCATAACTAGAGCAACATAGATTACAAAAGGGTATAAAAGATATGAGTAGAAATTAAGATTATCCGACGTACAATAATTATAAGCTTATTTGCTTATATGTTTATCAAGTATTCCGTAACAAGTTTGTTGATAAATCAGCTTAATTGTCTAATTAGCATGTCCAATTGTTGATTTATTTATGAAAAGTAAAAAGCTGATTGGACAATTACATTAAATTAATTTACTACCTATTTATAATTTTCTTTTAAAAAAATAAATGGTAGGGCAATCTTCAGGTAGCTGATGCACGTTTGTGGCTCTGATAATTGACATGATGGTCATAAATTACAGGATCCGCACGCCCAAGAACCACGCATGATCCTACGCTAGTCTTGTTATTGAAACGTTGCAATCTAACAAAACTATGTATGCTCCCATTGCTCCGTATTACAAAACCAATTACTATATACATACTACGTATATTCTATGAAAATGTTGCGTTAATAGTTACTTCGTATCACTTAAACTTTATTCTTACAAAAAACAATTGATTTATACTACGGAGTAGTAAAATTGTTAACAAGTAATCTATGAGTTGGTAACTTGTTATACAGTGTGTGACTGTATGTGTAACTGGAGGAGCTTGTCGAAGTTAATCTCCTTGCTTGGAAAAACTAGTCAATCATGTTATTAATCATATTATTATTGTAATATATCCGTGACAAAAGAAAAGGAAAATAAAATAAATAAATATATATATATATATATATATATATATATATATAGGGGAGTGATCCGGTGAGAATAAGTTCATATGTGAGAATTCATACTTATATGAGAACTGATTTTAAATTTAGAACATACGAGTAAAAATTTAGAACATGCGTCTGAAATTAAAATTTAGAACATCTGAGTAATAATTTAGAACATCTAAGTGAGTAATATGTTTAGAACATTTGATTTAAGAATTAGAACAAGTGATTAAAAATTTATAAAATCTGCTTTATGAAATTTTAAACATATGAGTAAAATTTAGAACATTTGATTTAAGATTATGAACATGTGAATAAAAATTTAGAACAAACAAATATAGAATATAGAAAGTGTGAGTAAAAAATTTAGAGCATACGAGTAAAAAGGCTAAATTAGAAAATAACACCTGTTAAAAGACCTAATTTTGTTTTTAACACCTTAAGATTTCGAAGTTTAATTATAACACCTGTTAAAAAATAAAAATTTTGCTTTCACCACCAGATAACAGAAACTGTGACGGAATTTTTTGGTGGGGCCCACATAGTCGTTTACCCTCCAAATTCCATCCCCTTCAATTCGAATTTATCTTCTCTGTCATTTATTACCACCCAACTAATTTTGCTTCATTGAATTTCGTCTGCAAATCTTGAACAACCAAAATTACTGCGAACATTCAAACCCTATACTGATTATTGTGATTGAGAAATTGAGTTGGAAGAGGAGGTGTCAATATTGGAGCGAAACAAGTCAGCGAGATTCCGTCAGCCATTTCCAACATCCAAAAAGCTTGGACTTTTTCGTGGATTCTGACAGCAACAGGAGTAAGATTCCAATACAGGTACCTTTCGAACCCTTTAAGGTAGTTTTCAACAAGTACTGTGTGCTGCATTATGCCATTTGTGTGGGTGTAGTAGGGTAATTTGGGAAAAAAAATTAGGAACCCTAAGAACAGTAAAATGGGTTAATTTGTAATTAAAGTTGAATTTGATTAAATTAAGTATGATTTAGTGTAATGTGTGAATTATTTAGTTTAAATCATTGATTTTATTGACTGTTGACTGGTTTGTCATTGTGTTGGTTTAAATATGTTTGATTTTGTTGATTAAAGTATTGCGGTTGACTGTGTAATGGGGTTAGCTATGTTGGGTTTTATAAATTTGCTTTGCATTTGTTTATTAGGTAGAAAAATGGCCGACAACGAAGATGGATTAATTGATATAGTATTTAGAGTAGGGGGTGCTTTTGTTACTAAACAAGTGTCAAAATCAAAGCATTTGCTTTGTTGGTGTGGTGGGTTATGTTATTGGAGGAGGGATGTGGTAGTGGATAAGATAGATTTGCATTATTTGAGGGTAGCTGCTGTGCATGGGTTTGTGAACTTTAATGTCCATGTCCCACCTAACTACAGACTTTGGTATAAAGAAAGAGGTAGGACCTTTAACACAGGGAGAAGGGAGTTAGTAAATGAAGAGGAAGTGAAGGGGCTGCTGGAGACAGTGAATGGGGAAGGGTATGTTGAAGTATTTGTGACTGCTAATGAAACATTAAGGCCCATACATGAGATCCAGGCCCAGTCCACTCCAGTAAAGGCTAAGAGAAAGGGGAAGAAAAGTTCAGGTAAGCCTGCTGTAGTTAGGAAGAGCCCAAGAATTAACAAAAATGAGCCTAAGGTGAGGGAGGGTGAAGAATCTCCTAAACCTAGATCTAGACAGGGGATAGAAAGGGTTGAAGGGGTTTCTGCTGAGATTAAGGGGGTTCCTGGTAAAGGGAAGTTGTTGAGTAAGGGGAAACAAAAGGGTAAAGCTAAGCTTGAAAGGGGTTCTGGCAGTGTGAAGGTGTTGGATAAGGGAAAGGGAAAAAAAAAATCTGTAGGCAAAGGATTGATTTTTGAGGATAGTAGTGAGGGCAGTGAGACTGGGAGGGAAGATGATTTTTCTTCAAGTGATGGGAGTGAGATTGACATAACTTGGGAGCCTGGAGAGGAGGAGTATGACAGTGGGGATGAGAGGTGGTTTGTGCAGAATTCTGAAGAAATTTTAGCTAAGGTAACAAGAAGTCTTGGGAAGCAGTTTGATGTACATGATGAGGGGGTTTCCAAGGATCCAAAGGCAAGGTTGACAGATAACTTGGATGTGAATGAGGTACAACTACAAGAAGAAATTGAGGGAGAATCAGATGACCTAAGGAGCTTGGATGGTTCATCTGATGAAGAGGACAAAAGTCCATGGTTTAATGACAAATCTGACTTCTCAAAGCCTGTTGTACTTGTTCATAGGCTTAGGTTTAGCAATGCTGCAGTGTTGAGGAAAACTTTAAGAGTGCATGCCATACATAATAGGTATGAGTACTATTTTTTACACAATGATAGTACTAGGATTACTATTCAGTGTAGGAATAGGTGTGGGTGCAAGTTTGACACAAAGACAAGTAGGATGCCTTTGTGTATATGCAGGGGTGGAGTGAAGTGTAGTTTCAAGATCCATGCTACTAAGTTAAAAAGACAACAGACTTGGCAAATAAAAACCATGAAGTTGGAGCATAAATGTGTGAGAAGCAGGGAGAACAAGAAGGTCACAGCAGAGTTCATTGCTGAGAGGTATCTTGAGGATTTCAGAACTAACCCATCATGGAAGGTTAAGCAAATCAAGGATAGGGTGCTTCATGACTTGGGGGTAGAGGTGACCTACTACAGGGCTTGGATGGCAAGATGTAGAGCTAAGTTGATCATTTTTGGTTCAGCAAGAGAGCAATATGCTAGGGTATGGGATTATGGGAAGGCTGTACTGAAATACAACCCTGGGTCTGGTTGTAATGTTGTGATTGATGGCATTGAAAAGCCTGAGCCTCCCTTGTTTATGAGGATGTTTATTTGTTTAAGGCCTTTGAAGGATGGGTTCTTGAAGGGTTGTAGGCCAATTATAGGGGTAGATGGTTGCCACTTGAAAGGAGGTTATCCAGGCCAGATTTTAGTTGCAGTCTCCAAGGATGGGAACAACAGCATTTACCCCATTGCTTGGGCAACTTGTGAGGTTGAAAACAGGGAGACTTGGGTCTGGTTTCTGGAATCCTTGATGCAATGCATTGGAAGTGCAGATGGGGCAGGCTTCACCTTCATGTCAGACAGGCAGAAGGTAATATTTTGTTTTGATTATTGTAGTCTTATTTTCTGTCCTGTTCTTTATTGTTTGAAGTGTGACAAGTAATTGTTGATGATGTTAAACAGGGACTGGTTGAAGCTCTGTCTGAAGTTGTGCCTAATGCAGAGACTAGGTTCTGTGTTAGGCACATTTGGGCAAATTTCAAGTTGAAGTTCACTGGATCAGTTTTCAAAGAGCTCTTTTGGAGTGCTGCAAGAGCAACAACATTTGTAAGTCTCTAGGTGACCTTAAATTATTTTGAATAAGTAAATGCATGATATTGTTCCTGTTCATGTACCTACTTCATGTAATAATGTTCCTGTTGTGTATAAAAGCAAAATAAGAGCAACAACAGTTGTGTATGTTATTCTTTCATGATAATGTTCCTGTTGTGGTTGTAGGTTGAGTTTCAGATAGCCATGCAACAGATTAGGGAGCTTGATGAGGATGCTTACAATTATTTGGAGAACATCCCCACTCATCACTGGTGCAGACATGCATTCAGTGACAGTTGCAGGTCCAACATGTTACTAAACAACATGTGTGAGACTTTCAACTCTGTTATCAGAGATGCAAGAGACAAACCTATCCTCACCCAAATGGAATGGATGAGGAGGTACATGATGAGGAGAAATAATGAGAAGTGGGAGGACTCCAAGGAAATCACAACCAACATCACTCCATATGTGCATAAGCTATTTCAGAGGATGAGCTATGTGGCTAGGAATTGCATAATTGAAGCTGCCAGGGATGACACTTATGAAGTGCAGCTGAATGATGACCAGGTTCTAGTTGACTTGCCAAATTGGTCTTGTTCCTGCAATCACTGGCAATTAACAGGCATCCCATGTATTCATGCATTTGCATGCATAATGGATCAGAGGGTTGATGCTGAGCAGTTTGTCCACCCTTATTACACTATGGACACTTACAGAGCAGCATATGAGCCTGCAATTCAACCTATGCCAGGCCCAAAGCATTGGGAGAGAGTGAACATGAGAGAGCCTCATCCACCAGCATTCAAACAGCAGCCTGGAAGACCTAAACAGAAGAAGAGGAAGCTGGAACCTGGGGAGGGAACATCTGCAACAGGAGGGGAGCAGGGAAGAAAGAGGAGGAAAAGTCAGTGTAGGATTTGTGGTGGATTTGGCCACTATCCCAAGACTTGCAAGGGCCCACATGAACCTGAACCAACTGAGCAGAGAACTGCAGGAAGGCCTCCTTTAAATTCACCTTGGGTAGTTGAGCAAAGAAAGAAGAGGGAGATCAAAGCTGCTAAGAAGGTATGCTGTTGGATTTGTAACTTTTCTTTTAAAATTTATGATGAAATTGGATGTTGATACTTGTTTATTGGTATTTGTGTTTAATAAACAGAGTGCAATAGGGGCTGGTCCAAACAGCATTGGGAATAGGACTTTTCCCCAAGAGCAACCTGGCTGTGAACCATTGAGTAAGAGGAAAGGTTCACACAGTCAACAAGGGCAGCCACAAGCCAAGCATCACACCACCCCCTCTTCCAGCCAACCTGAACCCAATGCTACTGGAGTGCAGACAAGGAGGGCTAAGCTGCTGACTTCCAGACAAGGAGGGCTGACACAATGATGTTTGAATTGTTTTTCTGAACTTTAGTTGTTGGTTGTATTTTCTGAACAATCAGTTGCAATATTTGTAGCTTTACTTTTGGGTATAGGACAAGGATCCTGTTTTGTTAAATTAATACTTTGCTTTAAGGCTTTACCAGCCAATTTTGTTAGGCACTGCAACAACAAATTTGATCAACAACTTAAATGCAATATCAACTACTTAGGTACTTACTTAGTTCTTTGCTTTCATAATTGTGTACATTAGTTTGCTTGCAATAGTGGTTCACTGCCACTTATAAATCATTACATTACCATATTACTGTTTCATGCAATTACTAGCATTACAAGTTATACTTAATGCATTACAAACCCCCTAATAAGAAGGATCACTAATATGACCAAACTAATCCCAACAGCAAGACTAAGAACAGAGTGATCTGATCTAGCATTCCTTCCATGCATCTCTCTGTTCATCTTGTTCCTGTCAGAGTTTAAAGCCTTGCATTTCATTTTCAGCCTGTCCACTTCATTCAGCAAACACCTCAACTGTCCACCAAGATCATCAACTTCCCTCTTGTAATCACTAATTTCCCCCTTCAACAGTTTCTTATCTAGCAACAAATTGTTGATCACCTCTGTTTGCCAGGCTGTCCCATCTTGTTCATCCACCCATTCAAATGCTTTACAACCTCTGCTCTCAGTTACAGGATCGTAGAACTTGCATGTTCTGAACTTACGACCAGGGTTCTCCCTTGTCCAACTGGTAAGCTTTGCAAAGGGAACACCACATTTGCACTTCTTCTCCTTTGAAGGTGAGAAACTTGTAGAAGACATTTCCTGCACCAATTTGCCATCCATAATAAGCAAAACCATTCGTACTATGAAAAAAATACAATTGAACCAAGGGAATTAAACAGTCACTCCTACAAATCAAAACCCCCAAATTATTTCTACAATGAACCCTAATTTCATTTTCTCGCAAATTACAGCACAATTAACACACAATGAACCCTAACTATTTACGAATTACATGACTATTGCCAGATACGACCTGAATTATGCATTTAAGTCAACAACATATAGATTAATTTACGCCTTATTTTTGAAAGATAAATTAGGGTTTCTAAAGTGCTATTGACGCAATTACCTGATTTGATATCTTCGTCCCCCAAACAATGATGGTAAAATCAAACAATTTCGCCAATTTGTTAGAATTCGCAAAATGTGAAGCAATTTTGTGTAATCAGCTCAACAATTCTACATTAGTGAAGGATGTCGTAACTATATAAAGCAGTTTGGAAAAAATAGTCGTTATTGTGGGCCCAGCTAACAGATCCTCTAACGTTGTTCCAATTTAGGTGGTGAAAGCAAAATTTTTATTTTTTAACAGGTGTTATAATTAAACTTCGAAATCTTAAGGTGTTAAAAACAAAATTAGGTCTTTTAACAGGTGTTTTTTTTTCTAATTTAGCCCGAGTAAAAATATAGAACATACGCTTTAAAATCTGGAACATATAATTAAAAATCTTAGAACACACATTTTAAAATTTAGAACATATAAGTTAAAATTTTGGAACAAGTTATTTAAAATTTATGATATTAAACTTAACTAATTTATGGTTTAGAACATGTGAATACTAAATTAGAACATTTGATTTAATTTAGAACACCTAAGGAAAAGTTTAGAACATCAGATTTAAAATTTAGAACATACAAGTAAAAATTTAGAACATAAAGAGTGTTCTCACATAAGAAAAATTCTCACGAGAGCCTCCCCCTATATATATATATATAAAAGAGGCGTCTAAGCTTAAGTTGATGGTTGAGACTCAGGATATGTTTTATACTCTATCACTCCCCCTCACATGAAAGACCTTTTGGGCTAAAAATGTGTATGTAACACGACTCACTCATACCTGGTGCAAATCAATTCCACTTTGAAGGAGGGGCGGATGAGATTCAAACCCGTGACTTTTGTGTCACGCTGGCTCCGATACCATGTTAGATGACCATCTCAACCAAAAGCTTAAGCTGATGGTTAAGGTCAAGGAATATGTTTTATACTCTATCAATCCCTTTTGTCATTACCTCATTGGTTAACATACAACAGTGTAAGATAGAAATACTTACATCCCCATACGTTTTTCGTTTCAATTCAATGTCCTAACTTGATCAAACACTAAATATGGTTGTCAAACTTAGACCGCCACACTTTAATACTAGCCAAGCCCCGTACGGTTAGTACAATATTGGATTGTGTATTGGGCCTCGGCCTAGTTTTGGTGATATGAGTCGAGCTAGACCCTACACTCATTTTTAGGCCCACTTGAGCCCAACATGTGTATCATAGTCTAAGTATTTTGACATCGGATCGTGTGACACGCTCCTGCCTTTTGGCAGCAAAGATGCAAGCGTTGTGCGAAAAGGATACTTGTGAGCACAAAGCAACACAAGCGAACAACAATATCTCAAAAGATGCTCACGTCTATCGGCCACGGAGTGTGGATGATTGAGGCTTGCGATCAAGTCAAAACGTTCACAAACATAAAAGCAAAACAACATCGGTTAGAAGACCTTTAGATTTCATTCAATTAGAGATTAATTAATTTTACAAAAAATCTCTAGTGAACACTTGATTGATAGTAGCACAATAATTGCTTTTAATTAAAGCCTTGAAAACATAAGCGTTGTGCGAAAAGGAGACTTGTGAGCACAAAGCAACACAAGCGGACAACAGTATCTCAAAAGATGCTCACGTCTATCGGCCACGGAGTGTGGATGATTGAGGCTTGCGATCAAGTCAAAACGTTCACAAACATAAAAGCAAAACAACATCGGGTAGAAGACCTTTAGATTTCATTCAATTAGAGCTTAATTGATTTTACAAAAAATCTCTAGTGAACACTTGATTGATAGTAGCACAATAATTGCGTTTAATTAAAGCCTTGAAAACATAAAGAAAAGTCTACGAAAGCAATACAGAAATGTATCTAATACATCGAAATGAAGTTGGATTCTGGACTAAAACATCAAGCTCGGCCCATCCTTGATTGAAGCCCAGTTAAACACACGACCCATCCTTGCCTTTTTGTATTTACAATTTTCATTCTTTTTCGTATATAGTCTAGTACTATTTTTTAATTATATACTCTGTATTTTTCTTTCCTTTGATCACCATTCACCAATGTACCCAATTGTTCCTCAGCCATTTTTTTTTTCTCTTTCTGCGATCATTCTTTATGATTCTAGGTTGTCTTTTTTAATTATGTTTGTATATAAATGTTTTTTTTTTGTGTTTGATAAATTAGCATTGTAGATGCCATAATCGAGAGTACTTTTATACACCGAGGTTACTTTAAAAATAGTTCAACATTAACTTATTATTTATCACACGAATAATTTGGAATTATTGATTGCTTGAACGATTATATTCAGTTGATTGAATTATTTGTGTATGAGACGTCACAATTGTTAAAATGTAAATCACATAAAGCAAAAGAAGATACGCACCAAATCTCTTGGAACGTATATATATATATATATACCTTGAATGTGAACTTAGGGGGGTATTGTGTGACTTAATATTTTATCATAACTTATCCTGAGGGTACAAACGCTATATTTCCTTTTATATTATGCATAGGACATCCGTCACTTATAAGCGACCTATATTGGTACTAGCACGATTAGCTCCCATGTTATGGAAAATTTGAGTGGAAAACTCATTCGATGCGTAAATCATTGAATATAAATAAATAATTTAGTTTAGTCGTAGATTGTGATTTGTATGTTAAACTTAAAGTTTTCTGGTAAGTTTTTTATATTGCTAAGTGTGATTTCCTTTATGTTTATGTACTCAATCACTACAAAAAAAATGTCCATATAGAAACGGAATTCTAACGACGGAATTTTATCCGTTTCTAAATTAGAGACGGAATCAAAAAATCCGTCTCTAAATTAATTTAGAGACGGAATTTAAAAATTCGTTTCTAAATTAGAGACGAAATTAAAAATTCCGTCGCTAAATTAGCAAAGGAATTGAAAATCCGTCTCTAAATTAGAAACGGAATTTTTTTCCGTTACTAAATTAGCAACGGTTTTTTTTTCCGTTGCTGAATTTAGCAACGGATTTATTTTCCGTTGCTAAATTTAGAGACGGATTATTTTTCCGTTGCTAAGTTAGCAACGGATTTTTTTTTCCATTGCTAAGTTAGAGACGGATTTTTTTTTCCGTTGCTAATATGAGCGACGGATTTTTGATTCCGTCTCTAGATAATTTTTAAAACTAATTATGTAAAATATTACATTAGAGACGAATTATGTAAGTTAAATTCATCTCTAAACTAGAAACGGATTTTCAATCCGTCTCTAAACTAGAAACAGATGTTTAAATCCGTCACTAAATTAGAAACTGATTTTAAATTCCGTTACTAAACTAGAGACGGATTTTAAATTCCGTCTCTAATATTTCTTTCATTTATTATCAATTATGTACGTAAAAGTAAACAAATAACATTTGGTATAGTTGGTAAGAGTTTCACTATTTGACATTGAGGTCACGGGTTCGACTCCTACTAACAGCAATCTTGCGATAGGAGATTCAAGGAGCGTTACATGGAAAGCGGAGTCGCGTTGACCCGAGTGAGGTCGACTCAAATAGCAGCTCTTTTTTAGATTCAAAATGTTTTTTTTCCGTTGTTGAATCTAGCAAAGGATTTATTTTTCCGTTGCTAAGTCTAACGACGGATTTATTTTTTCCGTTGCTAAATCCAGCGACGAATTTTTTTTTTTCAAGTCCAGCGACGAATTTTTTTTCCCGTCTCTAAATTCATTTAGCGACAAGGTTTTTATCAATGGAGTGATTCCGTCGATATATCCGTAGCTAGCTATGTCCAGCGACAGATTTTTAGCAATTAGCAACGGATTTCACCTGTTGCTAAAAGGCCAAATTTTTGTAGTGAGTTTTGTTGATTTCGTACTGTGTGTTAAGTCATGTTTTTACCTTGGCCTTACGATGACCCAATTATAGCGAGTGGTAGGGACATCATAAATTAAAGTGAAGCATTTCAGGTGATGCTGCATAGAGAAAAGCCTTGTTAATATGTCATATAAACGAGTTTCATTTATATGGGGGTGTAAACAACATTTCAAATCCTTTAGTAAGGGTAATAACGTCAACATAAGAAAGGGGAGTAATTGGGCACTAACGTTCGTTAACTCGTACGGGGTTTGAGAAAGTTCCAATGGACGTAGTTATTTGGAGACCCGTGTCGTTGACAGTTACACCGTTTCAGTTTTGTCTTTTATTTTTGAATTTCAATCCCAGTTTCGTAATCGATTACCCAACAATTGGAGGCGATCTAAGGGAATGATTATGAATTTTCGAATTGGGTGACTTGCGGCGGTACTGGTTGGAATAACTAGGCCAGTTGAATGCATCACTGGTAGGTGTTGGGAGTTATGTACAGCTAGGGTTATACTCGATTTGTGTGATTTTTCGCCTGAATTTGTTCATATGAGGTAGATGTATGAAATTCGTCGTAACTGTTAATTTGGATTGGTTTTGTTGAATAATTGTGATTCTCCATGAACTTTTGTATAGGTTGCGTTGATTAAGTTTTGTTAATTTCATTATTAGGCTTCATAATTGTGGCATGATTCGGGCATGAATAGGGATTAGATGAATAATTGTGAATTGAATTGAAATTAATTGCCGTGTAATTAAGTAGATTGAGTAGTAATTAACAAAACTTAATTGGTAATTATGAATTGAATTGCACTAACAGGTATGGAAACAAATTGAGTTGAAATTGTACATTAAATTGAAATAGTTAGTTAGATAAGTGATTATAAATTGAGTTTCAGAACACCCAGCACGCTCTCTCAAGCTGGGTTGAGGACTCCAGTCATCACATTCATAAGTCACTCTCTCAGGCTTTGACAAAAATGGAGAAGAGAAGAAAGGGGGAGAGCTTGGTGGTCGTGTTCTCCAACTTCCTCCAAGAGGAGATCTTGTGATTCCCAAGTTCAAGACAAAACGGAATTGAAATTCAGCGTTAACCTTGCACTAACGATGTCTAACGTCGCAAGTTTTCTGCCATGTCAGCTACAAACCCAGAAAACAATAAAATAATGCAAGATGCATCAATAATAACGAAAATGCCATCATATTAACATATAACATTAATATGTCATATTAACAGGGGGAAGCTCATGCTGCATATATTTTATTGGGGATTGAGCAAAGAGATAATCATGTTTCTCTAAACTACGTACTCGTTTATGTGAATTTTATGACTTATAAATATTTATTCGACGGTTGGTACTAACATACTCGTTTTTGAAGATTTGGTTGGTTTAAAGGGCCTCCAATAGTTCAAAGTTGGAGGTTTAACTTTGTTGTACTTTGATTTAAATTATTTTGGATTTTGTTTGACATGATTTGACCTTGAATTTATTTTGTTGGATTTTGACTTTGTTTTGAATTATTTTGAAAAGACTTTCACTGTGTGTCTTTGATAAAATGCATTAACCGTTATCACGGTGGCGATAATGTATTACTCATTTCCTTATTCGAAATTATTAAAGGGCAAAACAAGGTTTTCAAAAGAAGGAAGTATCTAGGATGTTACATGAGAGCAACAAGAACAAAATGGAAAGTCTAATCTTACTATTTTAACCAAATTGTATTACTTGTATTTATTCAGTTTATTGCAAAATAACATTGAAAATTATATGATTTCAAGAAACTACAGTGTATAATAACATCCTTATTCATACAATATTTACATTTTTGTTAAAATGACTAGAATCCAAAATCCGGTTCTTGGTTTTAGTTTTAAAGGTTGAGTTTACTTTTAAGTTGTACTTCCTCCGTTTTCTTTTAGATGCAACACACTATTTAGCGCGGTAATTAAGAAAGGTGGGGTTTACATGATATAACAAACTTAAAAATAGGATGAGTGGTTGTTAGGAGTGTAATTTAGTGGGGCCATGTGCTTTAAATAAGGGAAATAGTATAGTTTTTCCCTAAAGTATCTTTCCTTTAAGTATTGTGACATTTCCTTTTTAGGGAAGTGTTGCATGTAAAAGAAAACGGAGGAAGTATATTGCAAAATAGAATTAAAAGGTTGTCATTTGCAAAATGTGTACTTTTTTTTGGTTTTATTTGTTTTCCAACATGCAAACAAAATATTGAAATACGATAATATACCTCAAAATACGTTCAATTGCATAAAATTCTTTTTTCTGCTCTTACAAACAAGTACTTTCTCCGTTTTATAATAATTAATACAATATGCCTTTTTCACTCTTTATTCTCACTTCCACTATCGTATTACATTGATGAATTAAAAACAAACGTTATCTTGTAAAATGTTGTTTAATACGGAGTATTTATTAGCATAAATACACAATATCAAAAAAATGTATATATAATTAGTCTTTTTTAGCTATATATGTTTAGGTCAAACTAATGCATTGCAATTAAATGGATAGATTATGTTGAAATCTTTCCAAATCTATTGCAAAAATACAGAATGAAGGGTCTTCCTTATCCGACACTCTTAATCATTTCTTCAAAATCTCAGGGCAAAGAATGAATAATCAGAAAAGCTCCATATTTTTCTCACCAAATGCCCCGAGAGCTATGATTGATGAGTTTGAACAAGAGCTAAACATAACTGCCACTTCAGACCTAGGAAAGTATTTAGGCTTCCCTCTCTCATCAAAAAAGCCCTCAAAAAGGAAATTCCAGTTCATAATTGATAAGGTTGGGGGAAGATTATCCTCGTGGAAAGCAAAGTCTTTGACAAAGGCGGGAAGAGCCATTTTCATCCAGTCTACCTTACAAGCCATCCCAAGATATTACATGCAATCTCTTCTTTTTCCTCAATACATTTGCAAACAACTTGATTCAATCTGTTCAAGATTTTTTTTTTTTTTTTTTGGGGGGGGGGGGGGGGAGGCAACTAGCTCGAGGAAAATCTCTTGGATTGCTTGGGAGAAACTTTATCTCCCAAAAGATTATGGGGGACTAGGTTTTACCAAGCATGAACACCTTAATTCCATATCATTTGCAAGACTTTGTTGGGCTATTTATAACAATAAGGGGTGGGCTTCTTTGATCCTTAGAGAAAAATACATAGATAGGAAAACCAATCCCAGTCCTTTTCACAAAGGTTCATATATATGGAGAGGAGTTGGGAAAGGGTGGAATCTTTTCCAAAGAAGCTTAGCATGGGAAGTTGGAGATGGAAACCTCATTGATATCTGGGAAGACAAATGGCTCTATAACAAACCTCTGCGTCACTATTTCATTGGGCCAATCCACAAACCTCTAAAGCTGGGTGATATCCCCTCCTTAAGCTCTCAAACCAAAGACCAAATGGAAATACTTCTTTCTTTCCCTATCCCTGAGTCTCTATTCTATATTCTTTCTACCATCTCTTTATCCAACTCCCCTGATTCCTCTTTCTCGTTGTGGACCTACAGAAACAAATTTGATTCCAACAAAGCAAACACAGAGCTACTACACCTAACAAAGCCCAATTTCCAACTCTCCTCCTTTAACTGGAAAAGGGTTTGGAAAGCTCCCACCTTTCCTAAAATTCGATACTTTCTCTGGCAGCTGCTCTGGGAAAGGTTACCAAGTAACTCAAATCTACATAACCGTATCCCACAAATACAGCCAACCTGTACTTTCTGTCCCTCCATGGAAGAATCTTGTAGCCACATCTTCATACACTGTCCTAGAGCCAAAGAATTTTGGGATCTCATGCCTTGCCCGACAATGCTGCACATAAACCTATCCTGGGCTGATTGGATCACAAAAAATTTGGAGTGCAGCTCACCAGCTAATAATAACATCCCTTCGGATGTTAATTTCTGTTTTGCTTTGTGGCACATATGGAAGAGAAGAAACGATTGGATCTTCTCTAAAATCAACTCTCCTATCTCCTTCACAGTCCGCCAATGCTCATGGGCTGCTTATGAGTATTTCTACTCTAGAAATATCCCAGAAAGTCAAAAGCCCTCGACTATAGCATGGTCCCCTCCTCCCTCCCCCTTGCTAAAAATCAATTGTGATGCCTCATTCCTCCCAGCCACACTCCAAACAGGATGTGCTGTAGTATGCCGCAACAACCTTGGGGAATGGGTGGAAGGCTTCATTTGGAAGGGTTATGCTCCCTCAAGCCATGATGCGGAGTTAAAGGCCATACAACTTAGCCTTCAATGGATCAAAGAAAGAGGATGGAAGAACGCCATGTTGTGTTCGGATGCAAAAAGAGCAGTAGATGAAATCAAACAGGATCAAATTAGTGCGAACATCTCTAATTGTATTACAAATTGCAGGGACCTGCTACAGGAGCTCCACCTGCTGGGTATGCACTTTGAACAGAGAAGCACGAATGAAGTGGTGACATTTTGGCGAAGGAAGCTAGGTGCTTGTTAGGGGTGTTGAACGAAAAATGTATTTTGATTAATCCCCCCCTGTCTGTATCTTACAACTTGCTAAAGATGGTAATTATGCAACTGGTAGTTATGCTACTGATTTTGCTGGTGATGTACTAGCTACAAACACTGCTGTTGTAATTAACTAATTTTATTTAATAGCACCTTTAATTCAAAAAAAAAAGAAGGGTCTTCATTTGCAATTCATGTATGCATACACAAGCAATTGTTGTTAAAAAAAAAAAAATCAAACAATTGAATTCACAAAGTGTCTAGCCCGCTAACCTGGTCGGGTTGTTCCATACAAGGTTCGCCTAGTGAGCTGAGAAAGACGACATTCTTAAAACGGGCCGAACCCCTCCTCCCTCAACTGGAACCAAGCATTACTTTGTTGTGATAATGGAAGATTTTCATCAAATTTTTAAAAATGAACAAATTATTGAAACTCCACCATTATCACTCTCCTCTCTACTCACCTCCTCCCTTCCTTCTTCACTCTCAATTCCCCTCTTTCAATCCCAAACCCATCAAATTCTTCCGCCATTACAATGCTTTTCCAGCTTCATTTTCTCTCTCTTCTTCCTCCTTCAAACCCAGAGCAGCTTTCAAGGTTGAAGACATTGTTCCTTCTTTCTGGGGCAATGAACAAGAAAGGTTAAATGATGAAGATGATTCTGGGTGTCTTGAAGATTTGGCCTCTGATAGTCCAGTTTATCAGAAAACGCTGAGATTAGTGGAGTGTGCCATGTTTGCTGCTGTTGCTGGATTGACTTATCTTCTCAGTAATTCTCTTGCTATTGAGGTTAGGTTTTTTTTTTTTTTTTTTAATTGGGTTTTACGATTATGTTAAGATTGTTTATTGCAGTAAATATTGTTCCTGAATTTAGAGATTGGTTTGCTGTGCATATTTGTGTAATTGTGTTCTGGGTTTACTTCAATTTGTGTTAATTCCAGGTTATTTTTGTGGTATAGTGTAATTGGAAGTTTATGCAATAAACAATTATCAGTTCAGTTCGAATTTATGCAAGTGCTATACATACGTTAATTTTATTTGAATAATTATACGATTCTGGGGTGATTATATTGATTGACAGAGCTGAATTGCAGTGACTATCTAATTCACTTGTGGATTGATCTTGTGATTCTTGTCGCCGAGAACGGCCATTGGTCATAGGAGTGTTTGCTCAGTTTATTAGACTCAGTCTTATCAATTTCATTGTTGTACTGTGAATTTATTTTATCACTTCATTGGAAGCATGAATTAGACTGTGTTCCCAGGAAAAAATGTTTGCTCAATTTTAGAATATATCACTATATTTCCTGTAAGCATATATGGGTTCCATCATAAGAGATCGTTTGGTATGAACATTGGAACAGAATGGAAAGGAAACAAATAAGAGGGGGAAAAAGGAACCATTTAACTCTTAGCTTTCCATTTGTTTGATTTAACTATGAAAATGAATCACTTAAACTTAACTCTTTCATTTTGTTTGAGGAGGGTAAGGCTAATTGTTACCTTAGGTTTTATAGAGGTAACAAATTGATGGAAACCATGTCCCCTAGGCCCTAGGTAATGGTAATTGTTACCCAAACACTTGGATACTTTAATGGTTTAATTGAATATGTTTCCATTTTCCAACCAAAGAAAAAAAACACCCCTTATCAAGCGTGTTCAAAAGTGAACGGATCAACCAAACACTAGGAACAGGGGAAAACAAAAAAAGTTCTAAAATTGAACCAAACATGTACAAATAGGTATGGAGTTCTTTAAATCGCACAATCAGGGTGAGGTTCTATTCCATTTCATTCCATTTCCAACATGTTAAATCTAATGACCCCTCCCCTTAAACATTTAGAATATGGTTGTTTTCGTTCATTATCTTTGGAGTAAATCAAATGACTCAAAAGTTCATACCATTAATAGTGTTGGGCAAAGTAATTTTAAGCTGAGTTTGGCTTTTGGGGTAGTGTTTTAAAAGCTATTTAGGATAGTGGTTCTTTAATTTACTTTACTATTTCAATGGCTAGCTGTGTACTTGTGCCAAAAACCTCCGTAAAGAGTTAGTACAAGTGTACCACAGCAGACACTCCTACTATACCAACCTTTTTTAATATACCTATATTGTTCAGAAAATTGACTTGCACTAGGGTAATGGTATTATGATTTATCAATGGTCTGAAACACACGTGCTCCCAGTCTATGAAGAAGTGTGCCTAAGGGGCGCCTAGGTGCTGATGTGCTAGGCAATTGGGGTAGAGCGATTATTTTTGTCTTGGTGAAGCGCATTAGTCAGGTTTTAAAAAGGTCTGTTGTGGCCTTTCTTCAATGAGGTGCACTAAAGCGTGTACAAGAGGCACCTAGGCACAGCAAGAGTGCAGGACCCAATTGCCTTAGTGTGCCTTCAGTTTTATGCAATCATTTGTAAAAAGTGCTGTCAGTCAAACATTGGTAGATAGGATTAATGTATATTTTAGGGTGTTGTTCCATAACTTTGACATTGCAATAATGCATGTAAACTCTTGCATCCAATCATCCATCATGATTTAAGCATTACAATTGATTGTTAAGAAGTTCAAACACATGTTATAATGGAGATAAGAGCTAGCATATGTAGTCCAGAGGGTTTATGGCATGAGTTCTTGCAGAATCGGTTGTTTACAGTTTTCTATGGGCGATGGTGATGTTAAGCTGAACAAGTTGCTACTTAGTCCTGTATGGCTGTAGTCAGATGGACCTCTTGTGGTGCGTTTTGTGAGCATTCTTTAGTTTAATGTTACAAACATGTTGATAGAAATAAGCATATATCTAAGTTGCTTTCCTCATTATTGGTAAATTTTGCATCATTACTGTGCTTGATTACTAGTTCTGTCAGATTGAGAAGGGATATATGAAGTTAAAGAGAGGTAGTATGAGGTGGGTTTTTGTCCTGGAGAAGGGAGAGTAAGGCCCCATTTAATTCGTTTGGTTCAAGTTATTTTAATCTATTTAGACTTATTTTCAGTCAAAATAAATTGTCTTCAAACAATTTCATACTTCCTTTGTTTTCTTATTTAGTTGCACTATTTCTTTTTGGCACAATAATTTAGGAGAAAAAGTAGGGGCATACGAAGGGGCCTGTAAACAAAGAAAAGTACATGAATTATGGCAAGTAGGTATTAGTCTCATGTGAAAAGTAGGAGTATATAGGTTATTCCATAGAAAAATTCATACTTAATAAAATGAATGGTGCAATTATTATGATATTTCCATTTTAGAGAAATGGTGTAACTTAATAGAAAAAAGAAAGTACATAGATAAGATAATTGCTAATAAAATGAGTTAAAATAAGACAAGGTTTTGACAAGATAAGCTGAATCAAACAAAGAATTGTTGTATGAAAGAGAAGAAATAAAAATTCTGAGACTTGCAGTAAGCCAGTAATACAAAATTACTACTACAGGGAAGCTGATCGTGAGAAGGGGAAGTAAAGGAGGACTGGATGGCCTTTTGGCGAGGCAGGGGCATAAATAGTAAAGGAAAAATGTGAGAGGAGAGATATTCAGTTATTTCTTTGAACTAACCTGTCATTGATCTATAACCCAACGAGTACTGGCAATCAAAATAAGGGCTGCGTAATTTATTGCTAAATTGGTGATTCTGTATCTGGATGCATCCATAATCGAGTAGACATGAGGAAAGTTGTACTTTGTCGAACTAAGTTCAGTATGATATCATCTATCATATTCAACTTCTAACACACCACTTTTTCTCCCAGCCAGAAAAGGTCATATCCCCATCAAGTGGTTTCTGTTTTGTGGCTTCTCAGTTCTTACTCTAATGCTTTCCAGTCGAGTTCTTCTCACTTAAGTGTTGTAGTCAACGTTTACTTAGAATTACTTTTGTCTGTAAACGATTCTTCTCATTTGGAAAATGCTTGAAACAATTTCTCCAGCATGCTCTAAACTTATATTCTTATAATTATCCAAAGAGACTCTCAGTTCGCTGTTGGTTTGTGCAGAATTATTTTGGATGCTTTTTCGCATTGCCAATAGTAATCACTTCCATGCGTTGGGGTATTGCTGCTGGGCGTAAAACAATGGTACAATCTCATTTGCAGTTTTGCACCTTATTATTGTAAATTTTTCTGCTGTTGATGATCTATCTTTCAGTTGTAATGTATTTAGTTTCTTTGCTCATATAGGTTGCAACAGCAGTGCTATTACTTGTGCTGTCAGGGCCTGTGAAAGCATTAACCTATGTGGTAAAATCAAATATTCTTTTTTATGTTTGCTGTACTTGTACCTGCTTATTTTCTTGTATTCACACCTGCGGAATTAAAATTGTGATGACCTAGATTCTAAAGTATAGGGTAATACCGTAATAGGTAATCCTTTGGATTAGGCTACAACTTTTAAAAGCGGACTTGTCTTGATATGTTTTACTTCTTCCATCAGCTTTTCTTTTATTTCCTCCTTTAATTGTTTAGTTACACTAATGCAAATTAAGTGAAACAGTTAGTCACTTTTACAAGCTAAGGAGCTTAGTAATGTAATGAGTCTTGTTACTATCAGAGAAGTGATTCTTGATTTCCTCCTCATCACATTTCTTTATTTAGTATAATAATTTAGAATTTCTGTTTCCTCGACCCCTGCAAAATACACAGTTTGTGTATATATCTAAACTCATTTTTTATCCCTCTTTGATGACTTACTGAAACCAAGCTTGAGATTGGGAGGTTCATAACTTATCAAGCAGTCATTGTAAACTGTCCCTTTCCACACACATGGTTGGGGACTTTTACATTTTGAATCCTCCCGTACAATATAATTGTTGAGGCTATCATTTTCATTCTGTAATATAAGTGTGGTCTGCGTGTGTATCCCACCTTTTATCATCTGTTTGTTTGAGCCTACATCTCCCGCACCTCACTTATCTTTATTTCTTGCTTGCTTCCACCCTCGCTGGAAATATCCACTATATCCATTATGATGATTAACTCTTCAAGATGCTTTTATTCTTTTGCCCTGATAGCTCATCAAAGACTCCCATACTTGTCAGACTAGCAAAAAAAAAAAAAAAAAAAAAAAAAATCCTTGCTACTCTTACCTTACCCAATAAGAGTGTGCTAGTCACTCCCTCATCTTTACACCTTCATCATCCTCTGAATCTTCTGTGACTTGTATTTGTTTTTGAAACTCTCAAGTCTCAACACTTTGTATATCCCTTACCACTGTTTTCAACTTCCAAACACTACAATAAACATGTCAATGTGTGCCTTCTCTAAGGTTGCCAATTGAAGAAAACCTGAATTGCTTTATATAATTGCTTTAGCGTTGTAATAATCAATATGCAACACTTGAAAATAAAGATCTACAGCTTTTGACAAATTATTGAGCATGATTGCACATGTATAGCTAAATATAAGTTCAAAGCTGTGGTAAGAATCATAAGATGCAGAATATGGCTTTTCCTCCTTTTGAAATAAAAGAAAGAAACTTGATTGCTTGTACAGCTGTACTACTTCTCAAAAGATTGGTCATTATTTCCTTGTTTACACAAGGAATTTCTCTGTTTTATTCATAACTACACGATCTGATCACTTGTCATCTCTAAACTGCAGAAAATTCATCATCTTTTGGCTATTGCTCATTGGTATCATTTTCACCAAGATTATAATTCATATGAGATGCTTGACAGCTCTATGAAACAAACCTCAGTTCACAAGATTCCCCAACAAAATATAACCCCTCAACAAATTTTATCAAAGGATAGTATAATAAACTAATAACCCACAAAATAAAGATGAGGAAACCATAAATCCAAGTGATTTGAAGAAACTATGTGTCAATTTTGCTGCAAAAAGTGGTAGACATTTCCGGCATTTGACTTGGCGACTTGGTGTCAGCTGGTGGAGGGGAAACCAACCTTGTTTGACACCGTCAAGTCATGTTTTGGCATGACTGCAAGTGTACTTTTGTTGGAGGAGCTTAAAGACCATACTTAGTACTCACTGTGGTCAATTTTCATAAATTTTAACGATTATACATGATACTGTGCTTATGGGCTTGTGCGTCTTAATACAAAAAGTTATGGTTTCATTTATTGCAGTTAATGCATGGATTACTTGGATTCACCATGGGCTCTTTGTGGAGGTATATGGCTTTATCTTGTTTTCTTCGGCACTCTCATGACTATTGACCCCTTGCTTTATCATCTGTCCTTCACCTGGACTTTGCTCCATTTCTGGTCTATGACTGGAAGAGACTTCATTGTTCTTTCTGGCTGATAAAAGTTCATTTTGTTGGACCTTTCATATATATGCATCCAGTTATCCGCAAGCCAATAAGCATCGCTAAGATTAAAACTGTATCTGGGACTCTGGGTAGACAACTTAAGTACCTTCCCTGATTGTTCTTCTCTGGTGAGAAATGCAATGGCGGAATCAAGAACAGATACAGGAATTTATTGTTGAACTGAGGGAAACGACAAAAAAATTAGCTTTCTATAATGCTCCGACTGTTGAAAATACCCCATTGCTTCTCTGGAATGGGGAAAATGAAGACTCTTTTTCTTAAAGTACTCCGTAGTAAAATAAGATTGTTCATTTCAATTTCCTGATGCCATTCTTTTTGTTGGTTTTGCAAATTTGCTTCAATATTTTTGGCTTGGAATAAAAAAGGTATCAGAATACTCTTGCTTAGCATGCTTGCTAGGAACTGATGCTGTATTGTCATGTTACCTAGGTGCTTAATTCTTACTTTTGACATCTTTTATTGGTGTACATTTTTTTTCTATTATACAACACTTGCTATAAAAAAGAATGCGATTACTTTAGGCATTACTGTATTAATCTATTTTTTTTATGTCTGTTGAAACTCCTGTATCTTCGGTCCAGAGTTACCTAATCCCCCCCCCCCTGAGCGGCCTTTCAACAAACCACAATCCGATAAAGACGAATTATATCATAAAAGTAGTACAATTTTGCCTAACTTAACAAATTAGATAGAGAATTTCAAACCTTTATGGCTTTACACAATCTCATACTAGCGCGTCTCGTTAAGTAACTATGCTTTAGTCTATTGTCTCTATTCTTTTGTGTCTGCTGCATTCCCATTTCTTTTTGTCATTCTTTTTTCTTTGTATTTTTACGTTTATTTTCGGGATTTGGTTGCTTAGGCTACAAGTCAAATGGAGGCTTTCGATCTTCTTGTGCACACTGGTATGGCTCTTTCCCACCTTTGCCTGAAAAGTTTTGTTTCCGAGTTTGTTAAGCTTTACTTTCAGTTGTTGCATTGATAAGGAAAACTTTTTTTTGTTTGAGATGCAGGTGCGAGCAATAGGAGCCTTGGGTTATGTTGTAACAACCTCGTTCTTGATAAGGGAAAACATACTTGCTTTGGTACGTTATTAGGTGATTCCTTCCTATAGAACTCCTTCTTGTGGTCAGACAAAAGAGTGCACCTTAACAGCGTTATCCTGTGTTGCAGATCACAGTAAATGTACATGCTACCCTCACCTTGATACTCAACTCATTAGGATTTAATACAGTTCCATCAATGAATACTATATATGCTATATTTGGTACTCTGGTAAGACTTCTAGATCCATTCAAGTATCAAATAAAGAGAAAAAAAAATCATTTCTTAATTCTGTATGACATAGCCATCGAGCTTACACTCGCTTTTTCTGGCAGCTCTTGCTAAATTGTTGCTTCTTCGTGTTTCTTCTACACATCCTATATGCCTTGTTCTTGAGTAGGCTTGGGATGAAGGCATCATTGGCGTTGCCGAGATGGCTGATGAATGCACTTTAGTATCTATTTACAGCTGCTGTGAGGCTGCTATGTCATAACTTGTAAGTTGTAGTGTATACTAAACCTGAAATGGTAGTTCAATCACTCTACAAATCATGGATACAATCTACAACCAATTTTTCTTGTATAGTTCCTATGAATTTGTATGTATCATGAAAAACAAGTTTTATTATGGAGCAGGGTCACACAGATTAAACACACCTTGTGATATTATTTTCAACACATTTTGTTATCAGACATGATTCTTGTAGATCAGATTCTTATGCTATTAGGTTTCAGGAATATAAAAATGCTTAGTCAATTAGGGTGGCCGAATTGCCCAAATGCTTTCCTGCTTAGTGCTGGTGTGACTTGTGAGCCACAGCAAAAACAGCAATAGGGTTGCTTCTGCTAGTATTAAGCTTAGCCTGTTTGTATCATCGCAATCTCTTTGTATGAGCCGAATCAATCCATATCATTTTTCAGTTATCATCTCATGTTTTGAGCTATACCCATGTTGTTTAGCACCTCAAATTTTAAAGGTAATTTACTTATACTTCCTCCCAAAACAAATTAAATGTCTTCTCTTTGAGGGCTAAGCTTTGTATTTCAGAGTTAATTACTTAATAATATTTTCGACCTAATATTCTGTCGGCGCTTAGACCCATATTATATTGCATAGATCTGATGAATGTTGAACAAATTGTTCAGCTCATACAAGAGATTTAAAAACTTTTGTATACACCCGGTTTACACTAATTTTACTGTACATCGAGCAGTATAGGGTAACTTTTACCTAATTTTAGGGTAACATTTTGCCTTTTTTTGGATAACGTTTAACATAATACAATTTTTATACACCCTCCGTTAATAGTTATGTGCAACTTTGCACATGTTTACGGGTTACCAAGGCAAAAGATGGAGGGCAAGGATTAGAGGGAGTTAAGGGAGTTAATTAAAGTGAGTGGAGAGATAAAGCTGGTTCCCCCCACTTGCAAATATGGAGGGGAAATCAGATTTTTTTGGAGGGGTTTATTCCCCCCCCCCCCCCCAAAATTTCACAAAAATTTTGAATTTGGGAAATTTAAAATTCCCTCTAACTTTACAAAAAAAAAAAAAAAAAAAAAAAAAAAAAAAATAATGCTAAACTACCAAGTTTTCTGATTTCATATCAACATTTATGAGGCTTATAAATAGCAGCCTCCATCATTCATGAAGCATTGAATGCTTCTCAATAATTACATAACCATGTTTGTTCAAAAGATAGATCAAATCCACCAAAAGTTAGCACTAATTACATACGTTTAGCCCACATACAACCCAAAAAATTACTCCTAATCTAAAATTAGTGCTAAACAAAAGTTAGTCTTCAAATCATCAAGGCATCAGCTTGAGGGCAGCATCATCTCATCAAAAACCTTCATCAGCCCACCCCCCTTCACCATCTACAGCAATCTACAAGTGAACAAAAGAAACAGAAGACATGGCAGCCATAGATGAAGACCCTTTTTTCGACATTGAACACTTAATTTCAGAGGAAGAAATTGCAGAGTTGTACTATGATTATGAAGAGCAGATGCAAGATGCAGATTTTGAAGCATACAACTCAGACAATGGGAACATGCAAGAAGAGGCAGAAATAGAAGACACAACCATTAACAACAACAATCAAACTCAACAAGATGAAACACAAGCATCATTGTTAAAGCTGGAGAATTTAGGCATTCTCCCAAATCAGATTGAAGTGGACAGGAGTATAGTGTTGGAAGCTGTGGAATACCTGAACACAATGTTCCAGCACCCCAGGGAAATCATGAAGCAGAAACAGAAGACATGGAGGTAGATGCAGACTAGTTACAAAGAGACACAGACAACAACCAAATACTGCCAGTCTGCCACACATAACCACTTAGGAGTGAACAATGATATGTTAAATTTCACTTTTGTTTTGTTATTTTTTGGAACCAATCAATAAGTGGTTAGGTGTATTTTGTATGCTAGGATTTTGAAACACACAACAAAAAGGCAGTGGTGGTTTAGTTCTAGTGCATTTGTAACAGGCTTTTTGTAGCCATATTTTCAAGTTAATGGAAGTACTTAATCACATGAATCCATCAGGAGATCAATTTTTTTTTTTTTTTATACACAACTCTTCAAACATGGTTACCTCAACATCAATCACAATATAGTGATTGGTGGAGCTATACCTTTGTTCAAATAGTATTTCATAGGAGTCCCTTTCATCATTTGGATTCAATTACAACACTATAGTCTATTAAAATGGGGACTGTACAATAACAACAACAAGGGGCATGTGAAGGGAACTCCATTACAAAATGTTCTCTACACTATGATAATTGAGAACATTTTTCACACAACTACCCAAACACCGAACTCAACAAACCATCATAAAGGGTCATCATTCAACAATCAAATTCCCATATGCCATAAGCCATGATTACAACATCAACCAATCATTATCCAACCCATAAAATGCATCATAAATTAATCATATCCATGATAAACATAACCAAACCAGAACATCTAAAAACAATTTATCCAAAACAGAAGGCAACCAAACATGACCATCAACTAATCAATATCCAACAAAATAGGGAACCAAACATGACCATCAACTAATCAATATCCAACACAGAAGGCAACCAAACATGACCATCAACTTATCAATATCCAACACATTTGGCAACCAAACATGACCATGAACTAATCAATATCCAACACAGAAGGCAACCAAACCAGAAAGCAATCCCAGTCCTCACCAGAATCCAACATAATATCCAACATAAAAAGGACAGAAGCACCATAACCATATCAAACATAATATCCAACATAAAAAGGACAAAAGCAGCAAAACCATATCCAACATCAGAACAGAATAGAACCATCATAACATAATCAAATCCATGTGCATAACAGAACCACCATAAACAATTCATGTCATAAGCATACACAATCAACTTAAAAAAGGTACTCAGTAACAAAAATTAAACAAGTTAGGGTTAGGAAGCGTTACGAGTGCAGCTACTCAGAGGGTTGAACCGTAGGGTTCATCCGCCTCACATAGCACGTCACAACAGGAACAGAACAAGAGGGCACTTCTAGTTTCTTGGCTGGAGGTTCCTCATCAGGCTCCTCATCAGAAGACAGCACAATAAACTCGTGGTCAGGGAGGCCACGCATCCTTCTCAGAGCAACACGCGTAGCCTTCCTAGTAGCCTTAACTCTTGGGGGGGCCTTTCCCTCTTAGATCTACGCTTAGTGGGCACAACAGCACTTCCCTCACCAGGCTCAGCAACCAGATCTACAGCCATCTCAGAGAAATCAAGCGATTTACGACGGGACTCACCTTCACCCTCCTCCTTCTTCGCTCTTTCTTCCTCATCAATGCTTTTGAGGACTTGACCAAGGGCTCTGTAAATGTACAGAGAACAATAGGGACCCGTCTCACTTGACTCGTAAAATTGACGAGGATAAGGAGATCCAACCTCGAAGCAGTGCATGAGGTTTAAGATCAAATTCTCCTCTCCCTTGTCAGCCGTAGCCATATATGCATCCTTTAAAGGATCTAAGTTCACCATTTTCATGGAGGGACTTTGATTGAGAAAGATAGAAGAAGAGGAGAGTAGATCTGGAGTGAACAATTGAGAAAATCGCAAGAACAGAGGAGAGAGAATAACCCAGAAGATGAACTAGGGTTCATCTTAAGAACTCTCCAGAACATATAAGGAGAAAGATTCATCAGAAATTAATTTTGGTAGTTGGAAATGTGAGTAAATGAAGAGAGAAGGGGGGAATTGGAAGATAAAAGGAGGTAATAATTAGATTAGGTGAATCTGATTAGTTTAATTTAGGTTATAATAAGGGTATTGATTAAAAAAAAAATTAATTAAGGGCAAAATTGCCCTTATTTTTTTTACTACAAATAGAAAGAAAATGGAAAGTTGCACATAACCCCGAGCGGACAAAAATGGCAAAAGTTGCACATAACTATTAACGGAGGTAGTATAAATAGACAATAAGAAAAGTTTTATAATGGTAATTTAATTACATTTAATCACTAATAATTGATTTTTAGTTATTTAAAATGTGATTCCTTACTAACAATTTTTATTTGTATTGGATTACTTTTATGCATATTAGGGTAACTTTTATTTATTTTAGGGGTAATTTTTAATTAATCTAGTCTATCTTTATAGTGGATGTACAATAATTATTATACACCCGATTTTTTTTAAAGTTTGTGCAAGCGATTTATATATAGGCTATTTTCAAACTCTATTATATGTAGATTTAAACACTGTTTTTAGTTGATGGATGACATAATATTTTCTTGGTCTCCTTTATTTCTATTTTAACATAGGAAAGTGACATGGTATTTGGAAAACTTTCATGATTGTGCCAAAAATAATTAACCTAATCTGATTGGACTTGTGTTGCTTTCCTCTTTTCCTTGAGCTTTGTATCCGTGATATGATACTCTGATCCTTCTAGGAAGTTCAACTGTTGAAAGGGGTGCATTATTCAACTTTGAATCTTTTATTTTATCTACTTTATAGCTTTTTATTAGTTTATTTATACGAGAATTAGATTACTTATATTGATTTGATTTGTGTGACGTGTGTCTATGAATATTTTAAGGTGCAAGCATCACCTATTTTTGGCAGCTTCATTGCCAATAATTAAGGGTGGTACTGTGGTAGGAATCTGTCAAGAAGAGTGAATAAAGAATGGTGATCCAAAGAAATTTTTTTGTTATGAATAAAGTGTATCCATGCAATGCACCAGATATTGTATGATAAATAATATTACGTCCTTTAATTGTTATCTACTAATTTAGAATTTTTTATGTCTTAAAAATAATACTCTAAAGTTGGGATAACAATTAATGAACATAATGTAAATTGTTTTTTTTTTTTTTTTTTTTTTTTTTTTTTTTTTTTTTTTTTTTTTTGATATCATGTAAACAAACAAGAAAAGAGAAAACTAACTAAATTACAATTATATCTTCAAAGGATAAAGCCAACCCAATGGCTAACTGAGCTTTATTGTGAGGATCGACCACCATATCCCTGTCCACCTTCCGAATAGTACAAGATGTAAACAACTTGCCCCTGTTGCTTATCTCCTGAAGCGTCCAGACAAGCCGAATGTCTTGTGAGCAATCATCTTGTAACATACTAACCAAGTTAAAGGAATCGTTGTAAACTTCAATCGAAGTTAAATGAACCTTTA